GTACTTAAGTTTGCAATTTGCCTTGAAATGCATCAAAAATAAGGACTTATAGATGGATATGTGAAAAAGCAAGTACAGGAAAATGTTAAGTATAGAACTTAGGTAGTAAATATACAGATGTTAACTGAACAATTCCTTCAACTTCTCTGTGTTTAAAATATTTTTATAATAAAATGTTGGAGAAAAAATAAGCAGTGAGTAAAGAAAAAGAACTAAATTAACAAAATCCTATGCCATGTTTCAAAACAACCAGGAAAGGAAAAACTTCTTGGGTAGTTGAAGCTATTTTAGCAGAGCTAAAAGGAATTAAAGAAAATCGAAACAAACTTCAACTGCTAAAACAAACAAAACAACTGAATATAAAATAGCTTTTTATGAAGGTAAAAATTTTCACTTTGAGGTAGCCAATATACCAGAGAAAGGAAATAAAACATTAGTTTAAGTCTAGTATTAGGGTAGAATTTTTTCAGCAATTCTGTAAACAATTTGGAAAAACCTGTATTATATAGTCTGGGAAGAGTCAAAAGTTCTGCAAGAAAGATTTGCTAATTAGGGTGAGGGGACTGACCATCCATATAACACTAATAAATCAATACTATGAACCAATAATGTTTGGCTAGAATAGATTTTAACCTTTTTATCCACTGACTGGTCTGAATTTACAAGAACTGATTCAGTTTAACCTCAATATTGTTAGTAATGACCCCACCCCCTTCACAAAAGGTCTACTCAGTGGCAAGAGACACCTACCAGGAAGAAAACTAAACAATAGTCAGATTTTCTTGTTTCCAAGATCACCCCTCACCAGCGGCCATAAGAAAAAAAGTAAACTCAAAAGTGGTGGTGATTGGCCAGGTGCGGTGGCTCACGCCTATAATCTCAGCACTTTGGGAGGCCGAGGTGGGTGGATCATCTGAGGTCAGGAGTTCGAGACCAGCCTGACAAACATGGAGAAACCCCGTCTCTACTAAAAATACAACATTAGATGGGTGTGGTGGCTCATGCCTGTAAACCCAGCTACTCCGGAGGCTGAGGCAGGAGAATCACTTGAACCCGGGAAGGGGAGGAGGTTGTGGTGAGCTGAGATCGCACCATTGCACCATTGTTGCCTGGGCAACAAGAGGGAAACTCCTTCTCAAAAAAAAAAAAAAAAAAGTAGTGATTATTGGGAAAACAATTACTGAAACAATAAAACCTGAATTGGTTCACTTACCTCAATTAGTTTCCACTACAAATAAATGTCATGTGTTTATTAAAATTGGTTTTATGTGTAGCTAGCAAATATTAATTACAGAATTTCAAGAACCCATTTTCCATCCCATAGCTTTCCCCAAAACTCCAGATGTTTTAAAGGGCGGACTTTATGTGACAGCCTCTCTACAACCTTATAATTCTTTTCAGGATTCAAGATAACATTTCAAAAAACCCAAATTCATACTAACTTCATAAGCAAACATCTCCTCTCCAGATGGCAGGTTACCAAGGTAGTTTTTATTATCAAAAATTTCAAACAAAATAGCATAATGAACCCAAGTTTCAATGATAATTATTCAATGACACACAGCTAGTGTCATTGAATAATTAAGTTTGTGTTCTTTCATCTATAATACTCATCCTGAAATTATTTTGAAGCACCTCCCATAATCACTCTAAAGCAGTTTTAGTCACACAGCAGGTCATTACCTAAACTCAGGTCAATCCTTTCCTGAAGCTACATCTCCCACACACAGGCACCCTCCATGTCCATGAAAACTATTTTAGGGAAAACTGCCTTTGGTCATTGAGGTGGAAGAGAAGACAAGTGTTCTAAATCAAGCTGCTCCTACTGAAACTTAACATTCTAGGTAGGATGGAGGGAAACAAGAGGTTGTCTCTTGCTATATAGAGTATCCCTTATCCGAAATGTTTGGGACCAGAAGCGTTTGGAATTTCAAACTTTTTCAGGTTTGAGAATATTTGCTTTATATTTACTGGTTGAGCATTCCTAATTCGAAATTCCAAATTGCCACAAAGAGCATTTTCTTTGAGCAGGAAGTCAGTGCTCAAGAAGTTTCAGATTTTGCAGCATTTCGGATTTTCAGATTAGGGATGCTCATATTAGTTCTGTTGAATTCTTATATAAATTATATGAATTCTTCATTATAAACGTAAGTATAAAAGGCCTTAAAGAGGTTTCATATGAAATGAACTAAATTTGGCCCAGATTTACAAAAGTCTAGATTAAGTTCATGCTCCACCCTTCCCAATAGACTATATCATTCATTATCTATGGAGATTTGTTTAAGTTCTGAATGTCTGGTGTTCACATAAAAAAAATCCCATGATTTGTTTATTCTTTTAAATCCAAAGCTTTTAAATCCAAAGCTTACACCTTGATTATAAGCTTTAAGGAAATGAAAGCTGTTTTAAATTCGTAAGTCTTACATTTCAACAGTAAAACCAACTCAATGTTTTCATCTGCTCTTAATCAAGGCAGAAAGCCACAATCAGTTTTGAGAATATATACAGCATACAAATGAATTTAATTATTTTTCCTGGCTATGAGAAATTATCCAGCTATTTACCTTTAGCGTAACCAGATTCATGTCAAGAAGGGGCTGTAAGTAAAGGGTTCCAAACAAACTACAGTGCCTTTATATTTCCTTCCCTAAACAATTCTAAATGGATGAAATTTGGTTAAAAGCAGAGAAAAGACAGGATACCTTTTGCAACAAGAGCAACTTAAGAGGTAATCTGTAAAAAGGAGAAGTCTACCACTATGTTTATCCTATATGGTGATTAAGTGTTAGGGTTTTGTTTTGGTTTTCATCACAAAAACCACTTCCTTTTTACCTGGCAGCTGCCTCCAAGAAAGACTGCAGACTTCTGCAGCAGTACAGGTTACCCTCACCTCTACCCCAACAATAGGAAGGCCAGGACTCACTCCTTGATTATTTCTTAGAGAAGACTGATTGTAATACATAAACAAAGAGAACTTGTATGATTTAAGCAGGCCATAAACACTGACCTCAATTGATAGTTAGTTCACAATCTAGTACACACATTGCTTCCAGGTTACGTTAATACCAATCATGATTAAATTTCATTAATTGGTAATAGAGCACAAGGCAAGGCAGCATATACAAGTTTGAAATAAAAACAAATCTACTGGAAATCTAAGGCAGATGCGCTTGTCTCAAAATCCGCCAAATTCCAAACCGGTATTCTCAAGACTACAATCTTCTAAAACACCCCTTAGAAGCTAGTGAACCACTGACAGCTGAAGACAGAGGACAATCACTTTCTGTGATATGTATACTTCAGAAATGTTTGCACATTCAAAAAATGTTGGGAAGGGGCTATTCCATGTTATAAGCTTGAGTAAAATAAACCTTCATGCAAAACACAATTTGCAGGCTGCATAAATTGAGAACCCAGGAGGTTAGCAGAGAAGTTAAAACACTAATACACACAGTTGGTTGTTATAAAACATTAGTGCACTGCTATCCACCTTAAGTTGTCAGATGCTAACTTGTAGTGCAAGGCCTTCTTAAAATCAAGGATACAAAAACAAATCCGATCAGTACTATTATGAAGCAGAACCCTTTACCACACTGGCTTATTTAGAACTCATCAATATCAATCATCTTGAGAACAGTACATTGAAGATACATCTTCTTTGCAATGTTCCACTCCAGTACCTTCAACTGTTCAAGTACTTCAAGCCCTGATGTCTCAAATTGTTCTTTTTGGCCAGGGTGTAGCCACAGGGGGAAAGGAGAGACTGATTCACAAACATAAATAACCTTTTAAGAAAGTGATATAAATAGGTTTTGTGGCAACCAAAGAACACTTTTTAAATAGCTGTTTGTCAGGTGAGACAGAGCAAAGCATTCAGGATTATTTTCCCCTCAGAGAAGAACTGATCAATACAGGACATCTTGTGGTCTTCAGATAGATGAAAGGGAGAAGGCAAAAAAGGATGATGAAATGTATCTCACAGCAAGCCAAAGACAAGCCAGGCCTTCAGAGATACAAGATTAAGTCTAAAAACAAAAACGGTAAGATATGACAATGTCTGGACTCAGAAAACAATAACCCCGAATGAAGGCCTCAGTAGCAAGTTTTTCTCTGACCTTCTCCTGCCCTCCTGTCTCTCAGTCTCCTTCTTCCTCAAAGCTAGCCATAGAAACTAGAGTCCCTCTTCCCCAAGGTGGGTCATAGAAACCAGAACCCCTTTTTCCTGAAAGCCAGCCACAAAACCTAAAAATATTACTCGAACTTTTCTAAAACCTAAAAATATTACTACACCTTTCTGTGTAAAAACTGGCCATAAAACATTTATCTGATCTACCTGGTTTGACTGTCATCATAAGACCCCCTATTCCAGAGAGGATCCTGCCCCATACCCAGAAGGAAGGAATGTGTGCTCAGAGAGGCCAAGAACACGAATAAGCCTTGTTGGGTTTCCCCTACTCAAGTCCATTAGCAGATCATACCCTTTTTGTCCAATTATATTTCCACATGGCTGTCCATACTTCGTTGAACCTAAGCATAAAAATGGACAATTTCCCCTGTATTTTTGGGTCTTCATTCTGAAGGTTCCCGTGTACACATTAAAATTTGTATGCCCTTTCTCCTCTTTACCTGCCTTTCGTGAGCTTTCGGTGAACCTTTAGAGGGTGAAGGAGTTTTCCCTTGGCTCCGTATAACTATTGAAAGTATAGGACAATGAGAAGTCTAAAGTTCTATAAGAGGGTTATAGATGCTTTAAAAAACATGCACACACACAAAAGAAACATTTTCCAGAGAAAAGGCATAGATATGGTAGTATGTGCTGCAATGACTCTAGATTAAATAACATTTCAAGTGGCTCTGCAACTACTCCCCACCAGTTTATGCTAAAAATTTACATTCTTTGACAACCAAAATGCCAGAGCCAGAGAAAAAACATGTTGAAACAATCAAACGTCCAGTACTCTTTGCTGACATGAAAACGCAAAAAGAAAAAATCCCACTTGTTTTGGCAATTTTAAATGCTATTTTTTATTTACTGCTAACTGTGCAAAAGACACCAATTCAATACAGTGCAGTAAAACACTTACATACATCCAGTATTAAACAATAGCGTATGGGATAAATCTAAAGCAGAGAACCATGTGCCTTCAAAACTGATATCACAGAATGCAACTGGCTTCAGACAATTCTCAAGAAACCTGAAGAGCTCTTTAATTTAATATTAAGTGAGTTACCCAGAAGCAAAGGCTCTTGGTTTTACTTTCTAGAAAAAAGTTCAAGTTATTCCAATTCTGCATGGTTTAATATGATGTGTGATCTCTGAACCAATGAAATACTTTATATTCATTTTATCAATTGGTACCATCAGCTAATATAAAGCTGACAAATGGCTGACAGGAAAATAGCTGAATACAATGAAGTATGCTCAATATGGGGCTAGTTGTACATCCATCTCAATTTCCTTAGTCACAGCCCAAAATAATATCCCTTTATTTTAAAGTACTATTTTAAATCAAAAGGTAAAATAATTTTAAAGACAAATACAATAGTAAACACTAATCACCTAAATCATTTAACCACTAACATAAAAAACTTTCTAAAAACAAAAACAGCAAGAAAATGGCAGTGCAAGAATACTTCATACTGCTGGATCTTACATACCCTGAGGTACATAGTGAGAAGCTGGGGGAGATGGAGCAAGATAGCCAATTGGCCCAGGATTTATAGCACCATGAATTTGAGAAGAACCACCATATGCTGTACCAACTGGATGCCAGGGGGGAACACAGGAATAATCTGGCACAACTGGGAGGCAGGAGTCAAAACCTGGCAAAGGTGGCTGCCCATAGGGATCTGACATTACTGGATAATAGACTGCTCCATGAGGGACAGATGAAGGATCAGCATTCGGAAAAGTATCTGAAAGAAAGAATGTATACAGTCTACTTTACATAAAAAAATTCACCAAAACAAAACCCCATGCAACATAAGTGGATGTTCTTATGTGTGAAAATAAAATTTATTAACTATAAGAAAGATCACAGCAATTGCAGGAGGAGTACTTTAAATACAAATAATGACTAAATATGAAAATTTCCAAATTAAAAAACTGTGAAATACATGTGTCAAATCTATTCAACGTACAGACAGCTATCTTTCTGGGATGATTTAGGTATTAACAAGCTAAATACATAAATATTCTCTAGAGTCCTTCTAGTTAAATTCTTATAAGAGGTGGTCACAATTGAGTTATCCAATAGTTTTACAAGAGACATCATTCGAATAACCATTTAGCAATGAAAAACTCAGGTGTCTGGACAGTCTGGTCTATACCTGAAAGTATAATTCTGAAGAGCACCCTAAAAGTGTCATCTCTTGAATGTCATTAAGATCAAATTTTAATTTCATAGCACTTTTGCCACGAGTCAGTTCCAGTGGAAATAAATGCTGTTTTGATCTTGCTATAATGAGCATACACATTAGACAAAAAAAAAAAAAAAAAAAAATTCATTACTTGGGCTTAGATTAACTCTGTGAAATTAAGACTGCCACTGCCTCATAGTTAATTACAATTAAAAATAGCTCTATAGAAGGTATATTGCACAAAATTAAAAAAAAAAAAAGACTGACAATGTAATATGCTTTAAAAAAGGAAAGGAAGAGAGAAAGTAGTATTCCTAATATGCACCAGGTAATAGCATACTTATACATAAGGTCCCAATTAGTTCTGTAACAACCCTGGCAAGTCAGGTACGAACTCCTGAACTCAGGTGATCCACCTGCCGCAGCCTCCCAAAGTGCTGGGATTACAGGCGTGAACCACCAGTATTTTAATACCTAGCCTTTCAGGTAATTGTAGATATTCTTTGATGCTACACCCAAACTACATAAGTGGTAGTTCCTCAAAGGTAAAACTCCTCCTTCACTGAGTTATGCAGAGCTTCCAAATGTTGACACATTTCCTCATACAATTTAAGAAACTACATTCAGCTCTACTTATTACAGGAGTTTCAGTTGGTGGGAAGGTGTCAAGCTCGTGGTGGAAAATAAATGTTTTCCTAAATTCTAATTTTTATTTGAAAGCTAAAATTGTATCTTTGAAAACAAATATTACTAGTTATTTATCCTAAAGTGACAGGCTCACTTCGTTCATTTAAGAAAATGCTGACCAGATCAACTAAGTATGAATAATGATAATTTATCCCTCTTTCAAGTCAGCAAGTACAACTCATAACTTAATAGCACAAGTCTTTTTCCTTAAGTTAATCATTATACTTCATTTAGTATGCAGAAGTGTTTTATAAGTAGTTCCATTTTTGTCACAAAGAAAAATACAACTATTCAAGGATAAAAATTTAGTAAAAATGTCTTTGATTAAACAAAAAAAAAATAAGATTGGCATTTTTGTACCATGGGTGTATTGCAGTGAGATAAACACTGATTACTAGCAGAGTCTGGGGCCACTACCAATTTGTGCTTAGGTGCCAGCAGTTTTACCCATCACTGGTTTCTATACCCTCAATGAAAATACAAGCCAGTGAAAGGGGCAAATAAAATCTTAGTATTATTATGAACACTTCTGACCTCATGACTCCCTTGAAAGAGTCTTAGGGACCACAAGAGGTCCACATATCATGCTTTGAGAATCACTGGTGTAGTATATGGACCTCATGAAACATATGAAAGTTATTACTGAATTACACACAATAAAATCCAACTGTCTTTCTTGCTGGCAATCTCATTACATACTCACCATTTGCTGATGCTTCCGCCTGTGTGCCATCTTCTCTCCTCACCTCACTGTAAAATTGAGGAATGGTTGGATCTACCAGAGGTGGCTCAGTATAGACTGGATAATTCTCTACATGAAGCTGCTGCTGCATCTGTGGCACATAGACCATGGAGTGCCAGTAGTTGTGGTAATAGCACTTGAGCAAGAAAGGGCAGCAAAAAAACAAGAAACTTTACTTTTCTCTATTCTTAATGTAATACAGTTCCCCACAGACCAAAAAAAAAAAAAAAAAAAGTAAGAATTAGGACATGATTTTCAGGTGAGGTAGCAATGACTTTTTTGACCTAAAAACTTGACACTTTAGTCTGTTCTCTATAAGAACTTCAGGATCTTTTGCAGAATTTGTATCTCATATTTAAACCTAAAAATTCTTTCAGGGAATCGTCTAGAAGACCTGTATACAAAGGTGTCTTTTATAGTATTTTTAAAAGCAAAACACATCGCACATAGTATTTAACAACAGGGAACTGGATAAATTATATACCCGCAATGAAATACTATACAGGCAACGAAAATCATGCTGTAAACTATTTAAAGAAAAAATGCCTGTATTATTAAAAGATTAAAAAATTATACAGCATAATCCATAGTTTGTAAAATACAAAAGTTGTAAGAAAATATATGAAAGTATACAGTGATCATAGAGGTGATTTTAGTTTTCTTTATACCATAGTTTCAAAATGTACTACAATAGACACTATGATTTCTAATAAGAAAAATATTGAAATATCTACTCAGCATCTCCTGGTATTCCATGATGTAAAAGGCAGGAAAATATTTTTAAATGCCTCAGTGAAACAGATTACAAAGTTTCCACATGTGACTATAATAAACTAACATAACAGAAGGGGCAAGCGGTTTATCAATTCTTGAAACTGAATTTAGGAAAAATAGTCTCAAAGAACAAAAACCCACCCCATTACTCTTAATTTATAGATGTGTACTATTTGGGAAGACAGTTTTCTTGGCACTGACATGTCTAAAGCTTTAGGGAAATCAGTGTCAGGGAATATGAACTAATCTGAGCATTCATCCAGGACAGCATAGAGTTTATCATCATCTGAGAGATCTTAAGATGCATTATTCCTTTCAGTAAATATGCCATGTTGTTACATTTTAAGTCAAGTGTATTTCAGAGGGAAAGTGATCCCTGAAAGACTAAAATAAAAGAGCTCTCACCTCAAATCAGAGACACCTTTCACTGATGAAGACATTTGTCAGTACCCACCTGCCTCTACAACTCAGGGGAGTGGTGAAAAACCAGTGTTGAGCAAGCATCTTTGAACACATGAGTGCTTTAAAAATGCAGCTCTTTATTTTTATTTTTATATTTAATTTATTATAAGTTCTGGGATACATGTGCAGAACACGCAGGTTTGTTACATGGGTATACATGTGCCATGGTGGTTTGCTACACCCATCAATCCATTATCTACATTAGGTATTTGTCCTAATGCTCTCCCTCCCCTTGCCCCCAATCCCCCAACAGGCCCCGATGTGTGATGTTCACCTCCCTGTGCCCATAGGTTCTCATTGTTCAACTCTCACTTATGAGTGAGAACATGCGGTGTTTGGTTTTCTTTTTCTGTGTTAGTTTGTGGAGAATGGTTGCCAGCTTCATCCATGTCCCTGCAAAGGACACAAACTCAGTCTTTTTTTATGGCTGCATAGTATTCCACAGTGTATGTGTGCCACATTTTCTTTATGCAGTCTATCATTGATGGGCATGTGAGTTGGTTCAAGTCTTTGGTATTGTGAATAGTACTGCAATAAACATACGTGTGCATGGGTCTTTATAGAATGATTTATAATCCTTTGGGTATATACCCAGTAATGGGATGGTTGGATCAGATTGTATTTCTCATTCTAGATCCCTGAGGAATCGCCACACTGTCTTCCACAATGGTTGAACTAATTTACAATCCAGCCAACAGTGTAAAAGCGTTCCTATTTCTCCGCATCCTCTCCAGCATCTGTTGTTTCCTGACTTTTTAATGATTGCCATTCTAACTGGTATCTCATTATGGTTTTGATTTGCATTTCTCTAATGACCAGTGATGATGAGTTTTTCATGTTTGTTGGTCACATAAATGTCTTTTGAAAAGTGTCTGTTCATATTCTTTGCCCACTTTTTGATTATTTCTTGTAAATTTGTTTAAGTTCCTTGTAGATTCTGGATATTCGCCCTTTGTCAGATGGATGGCAAAAACTTTCTCCCATTCTGTAGGTTGCCTGTTCACACTGAGTTTCTTTTGCTGTGCAGAAGCTCTTTAGTTTAATTAGATCCCACTTGTCAATTTTAGTTTTGCTTTTGTTGCCATTGCTTTTGGTGTTCTAGTCATGAAGTTTTTGCCCATGCCTACGTCCTGAATGGTATTGCCTAGGTCGTCTTCTAGGGTTTTTATGGTTTTAGGTCGTATGTCTAAGTCTTTAATCCATCTTGAGTTAATTTTTGTATAAGGTGTAAGGAATGGGTCCAGTTTCAGTTTTCTGCATATAGTTAGCCAGTTTTCCCAACACCATTTATTAAATAGGGAATCCTTTCCCCATTGCTTGTTTTTGTCAGGTTTGCCAAAGATCAGATGGTTGTAGATCTGTGGCATTATTTCTGAGGCCTCTCTTCTGTTCTGTTGGTCTATATACCTGTTTTGGTACCAGTACCATGCTGTTTTGGTTACTGTGGCCTTGTAAAATAGTTTGAAGTCAGATAGCATGATGCCTCCAGCTTTGTTCTTTTTTGCTTAGGATTGTCTTGGCTATACAGACTCGTTTTTGGTTTTGTATGAAATTTGAAGTTTTTTCTAATTGAAGAAAGTCAATGGTAGTTTAATGGGAATAGCACTGAATCTATAAATTACTTTTGGCAGTATAGTCATTTTCATGATACTGATTTTTCCTATCCATAAGCATGGAATGTTTTTCCCTTTGTTTGTGTCCTCTCTTATTTCGTTGAACAGTGATTTGTAGTTCTCCTTGAAGAGGTCCTTCACATTCCTTGTTAGTTGGATTCCTAGGTATTTTATTCTCTTTGTAGCAATTGTGAATGCGAATTCACTCATGATTTGGCTATTATTGGTATATAGAAATGCTTGTGATTTTTGCACACTGATTTTGTGTTGCACACAAGTTCAGACTTTGCTGAAGTTGCTTATCAGCTTAAGGAGTTTTTGGGATGAGACAATGGGGTTTTTAAAATATACAATCATGTCATCTGCAAACAAAGACAATGTGACTTCCTGTTTTCCTATTCATATACCCTTTCTTTCTTTCTCTTGCCTGACTGCCCTGGCCAGAACTTCCAATACTATGTTGAATAGGAATGGTGAGAGAGGACATCCTTGTCTTGTGCTGGTTTTTCAAAGGGAATGCTTCCAGCTTTTGCCCATTTAGTATGATATTGGCTGTGGGATTGTCCTAAATAGTTTTTATTATTTTGAGACACGTTCCATCAATACCTAATTTATAGTGAGTTTTTAGCATGAAGGGGTGTTGAATTTTATAGAAGGCCTTTTCTGCATCTATTGAGATAGTCATGTGGTTTTTGTCATCGGTTCTGTTTATGTGATGGATTACATTTATTGATTTGCTTATGTTGAACCACCCTTGCATCCACTTGATTGTGGTGGATAAGCTTTTTAATGTGCTGCTGGATTCAGTTTGCCAGTATTTTACTGAGGATTTTCACATTAATGTTCATCAGGGATATTGACCTGAAATTTTCTTTTTTTGTGTCTCTGCCAGGTTTTGGTATCAGGATGATGTTGGCTTCATAAAATGAGTTAGGAAGGAGTCCCTCTCTTTCTATTGATTGGAACAGTTTCAGAAAGCATGGTACCAGCTCCTCTCTGTACCTCTGATAGAATTCGGCTGTGAATCCATCCGGTCCTGGACTTTTTTTGGTTGGTAGGCTATTAATTACTTCCTCAATTTCAGAACTTGTTTTTGGTCTACTCAGGGATTCGACTTCTTCCTGCTTTAGTCTTGGGAGCGTGTGTGTGTCCAGGAATTTATCTATTTCTTCTAGATTTTCTAGTTTATTTGCATAGAGGTGTTTATAGTATTCTCTGACAGTAGTTCGTGTTCTGTGGTATCATTTTTTATTATGTCTATTTGATCTTCTCTCTTTTCTTCTTTATTCACCTGGCTAATGGTGTATCTATTTTGTTAATTTTTTAAAAAAAACAAAAAACAAAAAAAAAAACAGCTCCTAGATTCAGATTTTTTGAAGGGTTTTTCGTGTCTCTCTCTCTTTCAGTTCTGCTCTGATCTTAGTTATTTCTTGTCTGTTGCTAGCTTTTGAATTTGTTTGCTTTTGCTTCTCTAGTTCTTTTAATTGTGATGTTAGGGTGTTGATTTTAGATACTTCCCGGTTTCTCATGTGGGTATTTAGTGCTATAAATTTCTCTCTAAACACTGCTTTAGCTGTGTCTCAGAGATTCTGGTACATTGTGTCTTTGTTCTCATTGGTTTCAAAGAACAAAACACAGTGCCTTAAGTATCTTTGAATCTGTCTAATTTTCACATAAAATGGAAAGATAGTCATAAAAATATTTTAGGATAATTCATTTATTTTGAGACAGACCACCACAGTGAAAAGTTAGTATGTAATGTTAAATATGATGGCTAATCTAATATATGCTGAGGTTGTGCTGCTTACAGCCCAGTACCCCTCTCTTCAGTTTAATGAGTATTTTGTAAGAGAAACTAAAGAACTGGGAGGCTAAAGCAGACAACTGAACTACATCATCTTGAGAGATCTCTCAGACAGAAATAAAATTTTTAGTCCCCTTAGTGCTTTTGGTTTTTGAAGTTCAAGGGTCTGATTATCAAAACAGTTTATACTTTGAAAATAGGGCTTATCAAAGAAATTTTAACATGGCACTTACCTGTAATCCTAGATTGAAATAGTACTGCAAAACTTTTGTATCTAAAATTAAAAACCAAAAAAAATAGTGACTTGACTGACATAAGCAATTAGAATTATCTTTTAAAAGCTCTTCTGGCTGGGCGTGGTTGCTCATGCTTGTAACCCCAGCACTTTGGGAGGCCTAGGTGGGCAGATTACTTGAGGTCAGGAGTTCAAGACCATCCTGGCCAACATGGTGAAACCCCGTCTCTACTAAAACTATAAAAATTAGCTGGACGTAGTGGCAGATGCCTGTAATTCCAGCTACTCAGGAGGCTGAGGCATAAGAATCACTTGAATCTGGGAGGTGGATGTTGCATTGAGCTGAGATCATGCCACTGCACTCCAGCCTGGGTGACAGAGTGAGACTCTATCTCAAAAAAGAAAAAAAAAAGAGCTTTTCTGTTTCAGCATTATTAAGATATCAATGTAATCTTGCCACATTAATACCATTCTCAATTTTACCTTATAGTAAATGACTACTTACCTACCAATATAGGTAAAATTATTTTCTCATCTAAGGTTTAGTTACCAAATAAAATTTTTATTTCTAATCTTAATTTTAGGCAGATGTTAAAAGAGTGTCACTTGGGTAATATTTAGGAAGAATCCAATAAAGACATTTTCTTGTTTGTTTCAAAATGGAATTTTTACTTTAATACACTTCTAGAACATAAGCAATTATTTTGGTCCTCAGTTACTAGCACTTACATACAATACAGACTAATACTCTACTGACAGAGATTAGTGATGCCTGCTGAGACAATTAGAACAATATGAAACAATTCATCCTGTTTTTATTTGCCATGACTGACATACCACCATCAGAACTCCAAAGAGAAGGGCAATGAGCAAGGTAATTTTTCTTGACATTATGAAACTGAACTATTTCATAAATGAACAAAAACTGCTTTTAGCATTCCAATTGCACCTCTAAATGTATTTTTATTGCTTGACCTGAGATCCACACATATTTTTATTTACAAAGTAATATAATCTGAGTTCCACTAACAGATGAACTTTCAGAAAACCCCTCTTTAAGTTGGAGACTCCCTACACATACAAATACATTTATTGCCATTTTTTTAAAAATCAGCTTGTTGGGCAAGGACTTCATGTCTAAAACACCAAAAGCAACAGCAACAAAAGCCAAAATTGACAAATGGGATCTAATTAAACTAAAGAGCTTCTGTACAGCAAAAGAAACTACCATCAGAGTGAACAGGCAACCTACAGAATGCGAGAAAATTTTTGCAACCTACTCATCTGACAAAGGGCTAATATCCAGAACCTATAAAGAACTCAATCAAATTTACAAGAAAGAAACAAACAACCCCATCAAAAAGTGGGCAAAGGATATGAACAGACACTTGTCAAAAGAAGACATTCATACAGCCAACAGACACATGAAAAAATGCTCATCATCACTGGCCATCAGAGAAATGCAAATCAAAACCACAATGAGATACCATCTCACACCAGTTAGAACGGCAATCACTAAAAAATCAGGAAACAACAGGTGCTGGAGAGGATATGGAGAAATAGGAACACTTTCACACTGTTGGTGGGACTGTAAACTAGTTCAACCATTGTGGAAAACAGTGTGGTGATTTCTCAAGGATCTAGAACTAGAAATACCATTTGACTCAACCATCTCATTACTGGGGATACACCCAAAGGATTATAAGTCATGCTGCTATAAAGACACATGCACACGTATGTTTATTGCAGCACTATTCACAATAGCAAAGACTTGGAATCAACCCAAATGTCCATCAGTGACAGACTGGATGAAGAAAATGTGGCACATATACACCATGGAATACTATGCAGCCATAAAAAAGGATGAGTTCGTGTCCTTTGTAGGGACATGGATGCAGCTGGAAACTATCATCCTCAGCAAACTATCGCAAGAACAGAAAACCAAACACCGCATGTTCTCACTCATAGGTGGGAACTGAACAATGAGATCACTTGGACACAGGAAGAGGAACATCACACACCGGGTCCTATTGTGGGGAGGGGGGAGGGTGAGCGATAGCATCAGGAGATATACCTAATGTAAATGATGAGTTAATGGGTGCAGCACACCAACATGGCACATGTATACATATGTAACAAACCTGCACGTTGTGCACATGTACCCTAGAACTTAAAGTATAATTAAAAAAAAAAAAAAAAAAGGCAACCTATGGGAGAAAGACTATAGGTGTTTTTTTCTTTTTTTTTCTGAGATGGAGTCTTACTCTGTCGCCAGGCTGGAGTACAGCAGTGTGATCTCGGGTCACTGAAACCTCTGCCTCCTGGGTTCAAACGACTCTCCTGCCTCAGCCTCCCGAATAGATGGGACTACAGGCACACACCACCATGCTCAGCTAACTTTTGTATTTTCAGTAGAGACGGGTTTCACCATGTTAGTCAGGATGGTCTCAATCTCTTGACCTCGTGATCCACCCACCTTGGTCTCCCAAAGTGCTGGGATTACAGGCGTGAGCCACTGCACCCGGCTGTTTTAATTTAATACTTTTGTGCATTTTCAAACTTTTCTATAATGAGCTTTAAAAAGTATAAGCAAAAATGAAAAACAAAGTGAAACCACAAAAAAAAAAAATCAGCTTGTATTTTGACTATTATATAGGAGCATAGCAAAAAGCCCAGTGCTCTAGCTACAGAATATTTTTTAAAAATAGCAGGAAATAAATTCATGAGTGGCATGAGATTCTACTCCTTGATACATATATGTATCAAATAACTTGTATACACAAATGCACATAGCAATATTAATAGCCAAAAAAGTGAAAGCAACCCAAATGTTCCTCAACTAATAGATAAAATATGATACAGACATACTTTGGAGATATCATGGGTTTGGTTCCAGAAAATAGTAAAGTCAATATTGCAAGGAAGTGAGTCACACCAATTTTTTGGTTTCCCAGTGCATATAAAAGTTATGCTTATGGCTGGGTATGGTGGCTCAGGCCCGTAATCCCAGCACTTTGGGAGGCTGAGGTGGGTGGATCGTGAGGTCGGGAGATCGAGACCATTCTGGCCAACATGGTGAAACCCCATCTCTACTGAAAATACAAAAATTAGCCAGGTGTGGTGGCACGTGCCTGTAATCCCAGGTACTCGGGAGGCTGAGGCAGGAGAATCGCTTGAACCTGGGAGGTGGAGGTTTCCGAGAGCGGAGATCACGCCACTGCACTCCAGCCTGGCAACAGAGCAAGACTCCGTTGCAAAAAAAAGAAAAAAAAAAAAAGTTATGCTTATACACTATACTGTAGACTTTTAAGAGTGTAATAGTGTTAGGTCTAAGAAAACAATGTACATACCTTAATTTTAAAATTCGTTATTGCTGGCCGGGCACAGTGGCTCACATCTGTAATCCCAGCACTCTGGGAGGCCAAGGCAGGCGAACCACTTGAGGTCAGGAGTTCAAGACCAGCCTGGCCAACATGGAGAAACTCCATTTCTACTAAAAATACAAAAAATTAGCCGGGCATGGTGGTGGCGCCTGTAACACCAGCTACTCGGGAGGCTGAGGCAGGAGAATCGCTTGAGCTCAGGAGGCAGAGGTTGTAGTGAGCCAAGATTGCACCACTGCACTCCAGCCTGGGCGACAGAGACTCCATCTCAAAAATAAATAAATAAATATACAATACAATACTGCTAAAAAAAAAAAAAAATGCTGACAGAAATGAAAGGAGAAAAGGGAGAACACGCTGTTGGAAAAATGATGCCAATAGATTTGCTTGACACAAGGTTCTCATAAATCTTCAATTTGTAAAAAAATAAAAATCACAGTATCTGTAAACCACAATAAAGCAAAGTGCAACAAAATGGAGTATGCCAATACATCCATACAATGGATTTTTTTTGGCCATAAAAAAGAATAAAGTACTGATACATGCGACAACATGAACCTTGAAAATAGTATGCTTAGAGAAAAAAGTTAGTTGCAAAAGCCCACATATTGTATGATTCCATTTACATGAAATGTCCAGAATAGGCAAATCCATGGCCAAACTAGAGGAGTGATTGTTAAGGCCAGGAAGAATGGGGAGCACCTACTAATGAATACATGATATACTCTCGGGGTTAATAGAACTTAGATGGGAGAGTGAATGGGGAAAGAATTTGAGTTGAATCACCATGCCAGCAAAGCCTTAGGAGAAGAAAACCTGCTACATAGAGTTCACACAGGAGTAGAAAGAGATAAGGTTGGAAGACAGACTAGATTGTGGAAAGTCATAAATGCCATACTTAGTCTGTTGAACTTTAATCTACAGAAACCAAAGAATCACTGAAGAGTTCTGAGCTAGGAACACACACAAAGTGGAATAGTACCAGAGCAGCGAGACCAATGGAGACGCTACTCTAACTGTTCAGGGACAAGGTTATAAAGGCATGACCCAGGAAAGAGGCAGTGGGTATTTTTTAAAGACACTCTGTGAAACACTGATTTTTAATAAATCAGCCAAGGTTAACATGCAAAAATCAATTTTATTTTTATGTACAGGACAAAATAGGAAAATAAAAGTTTTAAAATTCTACTTACTACAGCTCCAAAAACCCAAATACATAGGAACACATTTAACAGAAGATGTAGAAGACTGCTACACCAAAAACAAAAACAAACAAACAAACAAAAAAAAACAAAACAAAACAAAAAAACATTGAGAAACCAAACGCAACCTAAATAAATTAGCAGGTATACTATGTTACCATATTCATGAATTCAAAGAGACCATACTGGTGAGCACTAGCATTCTCCCCAAATTAAGCTATAGATTATAAACACAATTCCTAATTTCCAGAAGGTTTTTTTTTTTTTTTTGGTAAAATTTGATAGTGTAAGAGACATGCAAATGACCCTACCTTACTTCAAACCTTACTAAAAAGACAGTACAGTACTGATGTAAGGATTAAAAAATTGATCAACGCAACAGAAGAGGGCACGAAAATAGACGTGCACTTAAAACAGTCATTTGATTTTTGACTAAAACACCAAAGTGATCCAACAAGGAAAGGAAAATCTTTTGCAAAAATGGTACTGCTGGAATACTGGAGATCCATAAAGAAAAAAAAAAAATCACCTCCACTATCCACAAAAATGAATTTGAAATGGATAGTGGACTTAAACATAAAACTAAATGCATTAAGCTTTTAAAGGAAAACACAGGAAACAATCATAATGACTTTGGAGAAAGGCAAATAAGGCAAAGGGTTTTTGTTGTTTTTTTGTTTTTTTTTTAATTTAAGTCAGAGTTTCACTCTACTGCCCAGGCCGGAGTGCAGTTGCATGATCTCAGCTCAGTACAACCTCCACCTCCTGGGTTCAAATGATTCTCCTGCCTCAGCCTCCCAAGTAGCTAGCATTACAGGCACGCACCACCTCTCCCAGCTAACTTTTGTATTTTTAGTAGAGACAGGGTTTCACCATGTTGGCCAGGCTGGACTCGAACTCCTGACCTCAAGTGATCCACCTGCCTCGGCCTCCGAAAGTGTTAGGATTACAGGTGTGAGCCACCACGCCCGGCCAGTTTCTTAGATTACAAAAGCAATATATACCAAACAATGATCAATTAGATTTTAATGGGGAGAATTAAAATCCTCTACCCATCAAAAGGCACCATGAAGAAAATAGATAAGCCACAGAATAGGAGCAGATACTCATAAAACATACCTGACAAAAGACTAGCATAGAGAATATGTAGAGAACTTCCACAACTCAATAACAAGCACCCAATAAAAAACAGAGTAGTCAAAATATGTGCACACTTTACAAAAAATATGCAAATGGCCAATAAGCACATGAAAAAAGTACTCAAACAACTGGATATCCACATGCAAAAATATGAATCTACACATACTTGACATACAAAAAAGTAACTAAAAATGGATCGCAGACCTAAAAGTAAAATGCAAAACATAAAAATCCTAGACGATAACACAGGAGAAAATCTAGATGACCCTGAGTCTGGCAATTACTTTTTAGATATAACACCACAGGCATGATCCATAAAAGAAATAATTTATATATTGGAGTTCTTTAAAAGTAAACACACCTGCTTTGCAAAAGACACTTAAAAGCCACAGGCTTGGAAAAAATATTTGCAAAAGATATACCTGATATAATGGACTGTTACCCAAAATATACAAAGAATTCTTAGAACTCAGTAAGAAAACAACCTGAATTAAAAATGGGCCAAACACCTTAACAGATGTTTCACCAAAGATATATAGATGGCAAATAAGCACATGAAAAGATGTTCCACGTCGGATTTCATAAGGGAAATGCAAATTAAAACAATGAGATATCATTACACACCTATTAGAATGGCCAAAATCCAGAACACTGACAATACCAAATACTGGTATGAATGTGGAACTATAGGAACACTCAATTCGTTGCTGGTGGGAATGCAAAATGATATAGCCACTCTGGAAGACAGTTTGACAGTTTCTTACAAAATAATACATATTCTAATTCAATAGAGCAATTGTAATCCTTGGTGTTTACCCAAAGAAGTTAAAAATATATTTCCAAAGGGTGCGGTGGCTGATGCCTGTAGTCCCAGCACTTCGGGAGGCCCAGGTGGGTGGATCATGAGGTCAGGAGTTCAAGACCAGCCTGGCCAACATGGTGAAACCCCATCTCTACTAAAAATACAAAAATTAGCCAGGTGTGGTGGTGGGTGCCTATAATCCCAGCTGCTCAGGAGGCTGAGGCAGGAGAATCGCTTGAGTCCGGGAGGCGAAGGTTGCAGTGAGCCAAGACCGCACCATTGCATTCCAGCTTGGGTGACAGAGCAAGACTCCATCTCTCTATATATATTTCCACAAAAAGACTTGCATGCGAATGTTTAGGGCAACTGTAACCAAAAGTGGAAGCAACCAAGATGTTATTCAGTAGGTGAATGGATCTATAAACTGTGGTACATTCGGATAATGATTTGGTGAGAAAACAAATACATACTGCTAAGAGCCACTCTGAAAAGGCTATATATTGCATGACTGCAACTATATGCCATTCTGGAAAAGTCAAAACTACGGAGACAGTAAAAAATAAGAGATTGCCAGGAGTTGGGGGATGAATACTAACAGGCAGAGCACAGATTTCTGGGGTAGAGATGCTCCATTATAGCATCCATGTGATGCTATAATTAAGGATACATGTCATCATTCATTTGTCCAAACTCATGAAAGCGCAAGAGCAAGAATGAACACTAATATAAACTATGGCTCCTGGATGATAATGATGTGCCAAGGTAGGTTCATCATTGTATCAAATATACCACTCTGGTATGGTGGGGGACACTGATAATATGGGAGGCTATGGACATGTGGGGGCTGGTGGAAAAGAGCAAATCCCTATGCCTCCCTCTCAATTTGGCAAGGAACAGAAAACCGCTCTATAAAATAGATTTTTCGGATAAAGTTAAAGAGAGTGGCGACAATAAATGTTGGTGAGCAAGACAAACTACTGGAATTCTCATATACTGCTGGTGGAAGTGTAACACGGTACAACTTTGGAAAAAATGTTTGGCAGTTACTTATAAAAGTAAACACATATCTCTCTATGACCCAGCAATTCCACTGCTAGGTATCTGCACAAGGGAAATAAAAACGCATGTTTACAAAGACTTTTACAAGAATGTTCATAGTAGCTTTTTTCATAACAGCCCCAAACTGGAAATAGTCCAGCTATCTATCACCAACAGGAGAATGGACAAACTGTGGAACAGTCATACAATGAAATGCTACTTGGCAATGAAAACAAATGGACTACTGACACATGCAACAACAGACAAATCTCAAAATTATGCCAAGTTTAAGAAGCTTTCTATAAAGATTATATACTATATGATTATATTTCTATAAAATTCTAAAACAGGTAAAACTAATCTATGGTAGAAAAAAGTCCAAACAGTGGTTACCTCTAGGGGGAGCATGGAAAAAACTGGGAAGGAGCATGAGGGAAATTTGTGGGACAATGTTAATACTTTATACCTTGATAGGGATTTGGGTTACACAAGTGCATGCATGCATATGTTAAAACCAAGCTAATGTGCATTTAAGTTTTGTACATTACATGTAAACTGTACATCAAAAGGAAAAAACTATTTAATGATATCTATCCTGAAGTTTTTATGGGGAAGTGTACAAATGTCTACAATTTACTTCTAAATGTATCAAAAAGAAGATGGATTAATAGAGATGAATAGAGGGAAAGATGGACAGATATGTGATAAAGTATAAACGTTAATGATAGAATCTAAGTGATAGATATGACTTCATTTTAAAATTCAACTTGGATGAATATTTGAATATTGTCATAGTAAAATAATGGAAAAATACAAAATCAGCATTATGTGGTGACTAAGTACATCTCGGGCATATGTAGGTAAGGGAAGGGAGAGTAGTAAAGAAATCAGGGTTTAGATATTGGGCAAATTAGGTGGAAATGATACCACTATTAACAAAATAAAAAACCAAGGAGAAAAGCCAACGTTTTGTGTGGCCTGGGGAAAAGATAAATATGAGGAATTTCATTGTTGAAATGAAAACTAAAAAGCTAAGTGAAAATGTCTAGCAAGTATCTGGAGACAAGTAACTAAAACTTCTGATGCCAAGGCTAGCTAGATTTAGGAATAAACTACGTAGAAGTAACAGTGAAGTTTAAAGGTAGGGAAAAAACAGAAGGAAGTTAAAGAAAATCTTGGTGATTAGTGGTTGGAAAAAAAAATCAAAAATAGAGAAGCAGCTAGGAAAACCAAGAAAATGTTATAGCAAGAAGGTATAAGCTACAAACAATTCTCAACTATAATTCTCTTGAGAAATATGCCAAACTGAGGAGTAATAAAGAACCTCCAATGAAAAACTACTCCTTAGATGTTTAAGAAAACACAGCTGAAATTCAAGGCAGATAAGACTCCTAATCCCCACTCCCCCAAATCTTTAAAATTCAATTGAAATTCTAAATATAAAAGACTGCAATAATTCATGCACTTGTGGAAAGAATTTAAGAAATAAAGAAAAATTTGATACCAAGTCCTGTTTTGCAAGAAAAACAGTTAAGAAAAGCAGACATCCATTTGAGAATCTTCTTCAGGGTAGGCATGTAGCTACAAACAAAACAAAACAAAACAAAACAAAATAGCAGCACACGTCAACTCAACCATCCACTTGTTGGTTATGTAGAAGATATTCTCAGTTTTCTGCTTTTAATTGCTCCTTTCCTTAGTCACTTCCAGCATTGTGTTCTCAAGTCAATTTTCATTTGGTTCCCCATTCCCCAATAGGTCAACCAAAGACAGATATGCTCTAACAATATTTTTTAAGTCTCAGACCCCTCACCTAAATCTCAAAATCTACTTACCTTGAGGCAAATCACTGCCACTTGGATCACAGGAATAAGGTGGAGGTGGTAGTGGTGGTGGTGGTTGTAAGTTTGAAGCCTCTCCCACATCAAGAGGAGGAGGAGGAGGAGGAGGAGGAGGAGGAGGTGGTGGTGGTGGTGGTGGCGGTGGTGGTGGTGGTGGTGGTGGTGGTAGAGAGGCACCAGCATGAGGAATAGGAGCAGAATGGCATGGATAGGATGGTGAGGCAATCACTAACAAAGAAACAAAACATAAAGTAGCAATACACAACTATAACACCTTATGAACAGCAGGCTCATTTACTTTTCTTGTCTCCAGTATGGTCAAAGAACTCTTAATTCTCATGGTTTGGCTTTAAAAAAAAAAACTTGGACAGTGAATTGTCTACATTCTCTTAGACATACCAATGGAGAGCTTGTTCATAACAAGTCATTTTGATTTAAGAAAAGTATTGGAAATTAAAAGGGAAAAAACTGGAAGAGGCAGAGCTTTGACTATCAGACTTTGAACATTTAGCTAACAGGTACATAAGTAAAACATAATTAAAGCAAAATTTTTACTTAGTTTAATACCCAATGCAAATTTAAGAATGTTTTCAGCAATCTGTCACTCTCAGTCAAATCATAAAATGCAGAAGCTAATAAGAGATGGACTAAGTGCACAGACTACAGATTTTAGCAATCCTTGAAAGTTTCTACTGGTAGCATCTCAGGAATATAGGGAATTTTAAATCATGAACGTTCCATTTCTAAGAAGGTACAGAATCTAAAAACAGGATAGATACAATATCTTATCCCTTTAGCTTTCTATACCTGTTACTATAGCTTAGAAATAATCAATATTTAAAAGTTTGTTTTTGACATAAGAAATTCAGATGTAATTATATTTAAATATTAATCCTCTGTGACGATAAAGGAAACAATGTGGTTACAACCTAGTAAAAACACATACCTGCATATATATATAACATGTAAATTTGTTAATTTTTTTTACAAAAGATGAATAATACAAACCCTTCAAGTTTAAACTGAATCATTTTAGCCAGCTGAAACCCAAGTACAAAATTTCATCATTTTGTTATCTGCATTATCATCTTAACCCTAAGAAACATAGAAAGTTTAGTCTTATCATTCTATAAATATTTAAAGTCAGAGTTTCAGCACACTGAGTTTAGCATAGGAACAATTCACACAACCTGAATTTGTTACTCTGATATTTTAGCAAGACATAATCCACATTGTTTCCATTTAGTGACCAGTACTAACAATATACTCATCTATATCTTTCGTACATTTACAGGCTAACAGTAATAGATCTGTGTCTTCAGGTGATCTAAAATTTGATAAACAACTGTTTAGGAGTGATGCAATTATCTCTTGATTGTGGTGGTGGTTACACAACTCTATGCATTTGTCAAAGCTCACAGAACTGGGCACCAAAAAAATGAATTATTCTGTATCTAAATTAAACAGTAAATTTTTAAAGCTTGCTCAACTAGCTGTTTTGGAGTTTTGTCATATATTTAGAAATCTCTACTTTTACAGTTTTGGGAGAGGAATTTAATTTTCAGAATATCCCCAAACGTTCTAGACATACATTTTTTTAAAATAAAATGGCTCCCCCAACAAAGCCCTGCTCTTACTCCTTTTAAACTAGCACTGAAAATGTATCATACCATTTAAAAAAAAAAAAAGCAAATGGAGAAAGGCAATTAGCTGAAGACAGTAGCATGTGATTATGATCACTAGATAAAAACCAACTACTAGACATAGAAGTGGCTAAATACATTCTCATGTGCCTGAAAGAATCAAGAGTAGACACAATTTGGAGGTTACTTTGTCTGAATTCACCTTCCTTATAAATGCACAGTATTACAATAAACCCTCTAAGTAAAAGCTTTTACAATTTCAAGTTTCTAAAGAGATGCATGAGCATCTCATCCTCAGACTTAAGAAGAGCTCCACAGGCTTAACAGATACACTTCAAGGAATGGCTCAAGAATTACAGAAACGTCTTCTAAAATATTAGTAGAAATCAATGTAATGCATTCAGAATGCTTATTTCCCCTGTCCATGTAACTGTAGTCTGCTTCAGGACACTTCAGAAGAGAACATAACTATAATAAGATACTGCTGCTTCTCTAGAAATCACAGAGCAGGGCCAAGGCCAAGGTGTGGTGAGATGCTCCAGTGCAAAATTTAAGGGACTACCAAAACTAATACAAAGAAAACTATTATGAATACAACATCAAAATTTTCAATAAAGACAGGATCTAACCCTGTACTTACATGACCCCAAGAGTATATGCCTTACTCAACTCACCTTAAACCTGATCCACAGATCCTGTCTTTATTTAAAATTGATACTTTGTTCTCAAATTTTTTTATAATCATCTTTATTTTTAAAAACGATGAATTAAAGTGTTATTATCTTGATTACTGTATTTTTTTTTTTTTGGCATTCCATTAAATTTTGCATTCAGGGACAGTCACTGATCCCAGCCCTGGCAAAAGACTTGGGATCATTTACTGAAATCCAGAGTTTGAAGTTGACAGGATTTAATGCCTAAAAGGAGACTCATACTTAAAGGCAATCATCATATCTTGTTACCTTGCAGATTAGAAGTCACTTAAGGATGGAAGGGGCCTGCCAGAGAGACGTATGAAGAACAAAGTGGGAAAAATCAGTTGTTTCATCAATAGGATTGACAAGAATGACAAAGAGCAACTAAAAAGCAGCCAGATCTAGTAAAGATCTATAGTTGAGGTTCATTAAGTGACTGAGAGAACAAAAAGTAAATAAATGAAGGCAGTATGCATTTTTAGAAAAATCTGGCATTTAAATGGTAATCTTTCAATGATTCCACATAAATAAAACATTACAATGCTTGCTTCATCTGTCACTTGAATTTAAGCTCAGACAGCTGCTAAAAGCAGACAGCAAACACTTTCCCTTACAACTAGCATAAAGTAGTAAAAGTAGGGTCTACATTAACATTTCCAGTGAAAAATTTATATCATCATCAACATTTATTGTCTGTTTTTGTTCCAGGCACTGTGCTAGGCACTTTTGTGTTTTTTTGAGAAAAAGTCTCACTTTTGCCTAAGCTGGAGTGTAATGACATCATCTCAGCTCACTGCAACCTCCAACTCTCGAGTTCAAGTGATTCTCCTGCCTCAGCCTCCAGAGTAGCTGGGATTATAGGCATGTGCCACCATGCCTGGCTAATGTTTGTATTTTTAGTAGAGATGGGGTTTCCCCATGTTGGCCAGGCTGGTCTCGAACTTCTAACCTTAGGTGACCCACCCACCTCGGTCTTCCAAAGTGCTGGGATTACAGGCATGAGCCACCACGCCCTGCCCAATTTTTTTTTTTTTTTGAGACGGAGTCTCGCTCTGTCGCCCAGGCTGGAGTGCAGTGGCGCAATCTCCACTCACTGCAAGCTCCGCCCCCCGGGTTCACGCCATTCTCCTGCCTCAGCCTCCCATGTAGCTGGGGCTACAGGTGCCTGCCACTGCGCCCGGCTAATTTTTTGTATTTTTTAGTAGAGACAGGGTTTCACAGTGTTAGCCAGGATGGTCTCGATCTCCTGACCTTGTGATCTGCCCGTCTCGGCCTCCCAAAGTGCTAGGATTACAGGCGTGAGCCACCACGCCCGGCCCACTTTATCTTTTTATGAATAAAACAGATATAGCAAACAAATCAAATACGTTGCTTAATGAGTTATTTTAATGTGGATACTACCCACGTCTAGAAATACTTTTCCCTCCTACCATAACCAACCGTTGTTTTGACTTTAATAGTAATCACTTCCTTGGGGTCTTTTCAGAGTTTTGTCACTCAAATGTGCATCCTTGAACAGTTTTTTAGTTTTATCCATTAAAAAAATTGGATATTTCTTGACTGTATTAATCTATTGGTCCTTCCTCCATCCATTTCCTGACAAGTTCTGCTTTAAAGAACCTGGGCCCTTTGATCTGACAAGCTTCCCATAGTCTGGATTTTGCAGATTACATACTCATGCTGCAATCCAACATGTTATTCTGTATTTCCTGTCAATAGGCAGCTAGATCAAGGAAACTGAATCAGATTCAGGACTGATTCTTCTGGGACATCTATAGCTAAAGTTTGACTGACTTTGCAATCTTAGTAGCTACTGATGTTTAATGTTCATCCATTTAATAGGGACTGCAAAATTATTGTCACTTTTTAATTGATTAGTTAGAATACTATTACAAAAAGATACTTACCCTCATCTATTTGTTTATTCAGTGGTATAGTTCATATAAGGAAGGCAGAATAAATGCTTGATTATTTCATGTTCCAGTTTTCAAGAAAATTTATTGATTTCCTATCATCCTCTTAAAGTAAGCAATTTTTAAAATATCACTAAGAACTTTTATATTCAACATACTTGGTATATTCCAATCTATTGCAATGATCATTGAGGCTCAAATTGTTCCATCTTTGGCCAGTGGGAATCTCTCTTTGTGATGGTTTCTGAGTCCTTTTGACATGATGCCTATACTCTGATAATGTTCCTTGCTATCTGGTATGACAGGATGTTCCAGGATCATCTTGAACATTTCCTGCCCAGACCTGGAGTCAGCCATTTCTCCACAGAGCCCAGTTTATTTTAAAAGTAATAAATGTTATTTTAAGACCACAAACTAGGTGCTAGGAATACTTATTGTTTTCAGGCCTTTCAGTGGACAGAGCGAGGAAACATTTACATATATTAAAAGATAAAATATCTCAAGTTCATACTGATACTTCTAATTCAAATTCAAGACCATAAAAGCTTTTAATTAGCCTCTATAACATCTGCATTACCTTTTTTCCCACACTAAGAATCCTGGTTCATTAGGACACAGGGGATAAAATTTGAATATCCCATAATTACTCATTTGCTTTAGCCCACATTACACAGTCTCAGAATAGCTTTCTGAGTATTAAAGAATCTGATGTGACTGACAGCATGCAAAAAGGCTTTGCCCATAGTCTCTCAATTCTATCATCTAAAAAAATAACTACATCTATACCCTCCAAACATAAGGCTATTACATAGTACAGTCTCAACTTCTCAGCCCTCACATGTCTTACTTCTATGGGTAACTATGTATTTAATACTTATCATCACGTCTTATGTCTCTAATGTCTTTAATTGTTCTGCCCCTAATTGTTCTGCTACAGAATAACAGAACAATGTCTCTAATTGTTCTGGTAGCCTAAAACTCTGGTAACCTAAAACTCAAAGTTCATTCTCTAGTACACTGTTGTGCAATACAACTTTTTGTGATGGCAAAAATATTCTATATCTCTGTTGTCCAATATAGTAGCTACTAGCCACATGTGGCTTTTAGCGCTTGGTATGTGGCTGATCCAACTACAGATTTACTTAACTGTAATTAACTTAGTTTCCACACATGGCTAGTGATTACCCTGCTTGACAGCACAGCTCTCACAGATTCATCAGGAAGGGTTCATGGGAATAATATTCTTGGGTTCTCACATGTTGTCCTTTGTGCTTGAAATCAGTTTGAATGGATACAAAATTGTTGGTTCACATATTCCTTCCTTGGGTATCTTAAATGTTATTCCACTTTCTTCCAGCATAAAACAATGCTGTCAAAGTTTGATGATTATCATTGTATTTCTCTTATATGCCATAAACTCTTAGATACTCAGGACTTTTTAAGTCTGACAATTTTATTAGAATATTCTGCTGTCCATCACTCTGGGTCAATATTCTCAGGTATTTAGGGTGCTGTTTCAAGTACGTACTTTTAAAACTTTTTAAACTTATGCTTTGACTCTGTGTCCCCACTCAAATTTCATCTTGAATTGTAAACTGAGCTGTAATCCCCAGGTGTTAAGGGAGAGGCCTGGTGGGAGGTGACTGGATCATGGGAGCGGTTTCCCCTATGCTGTTCTTGTGATAGTGAGTAAATTCTCATGAGATCTGATAGTTTTGTAAATGGCAGTTTCTCCTGCTCTCTCTCTCTCTCTCCTGGCGCCTTGTGAAGAAGGTGTCTGCTTTCCCTTTGCTTTCCGCCATGATGACAAGTTTCCTGAGGCCTCCTCAGCCATGCAGAACTGTGAATCAATTAAACCTCTTTCCTTTATATGTTACCCAGTCTTAGGCATTTCTTTATAGCAGTGTGAAAACAACCTAATACAAAACTTCAGCAAAGTTTTCTAAATTATAGCTTTTAGTATTATTTTGTTCCTTTACTTTGGTTTTCTTTTTCAGGGACTTCTATCCGTGTTTGATCTTGTTTGCCTAACTTCAAATATGTCGCTTTTAAATCTTTATCTTCATTTTCTTTCAATTTTAGATTTCCCTCTTCTTACATCTTTATTTAAAAAAAAAAAAAAAAAAAGGTTTACAGCCGGGTGTGGTGGCTCATGCCTATAATCCCAGCACTTTGGGAGGTTGAGGTGAGTGGATCACTTAAGCCTAGGAGTTCAAGACCAGCTTGGGCAACATGGCAAGACCCCGTCTCTACAAAAACACAGTAATTAGCCAAGTTTGGTGGAGTGTGCCTATAGTCCTAGGTACTAGGAGGCTGAGGCAGCAGGATTGCTTGAACCCTGAAGATCCAGGCTGCAGTGAGCCATGATCATGCCACTGCACTCTACCCTTGGTGACAGAGCAATACCCCGTCTCGAAAAAAAAAAAAATTAAAGCCTACAGCACTCATTTCTCTTAAAGCATTATCTGCTGTACATACAGTGTGGGTATCCCTAATTTGAAAATCTGAAATTCAAACTGCTCCAAATTCCAAAACTTTTTGAGTGCCTACATAGTACTCAAAGGAAATGCTCATTGGAGAATTTTGGAAATTCAGATTAGGGATGCTCAACAAGTATATTGCAAATATTTTCAAATCTAAAAGAATCCTAAGTCCAAAACACTTCTAGTCCCAAGCATTTTGAATAAAGAATACTCAACCTGAATTTGCTCAAGCTCATTATAGTTTAGTTTCCATTACTAAAACGACCTTCTCCCATTTATAATTCTTTCCTGAGTTCTATTACCTCGGGTAAGTTTTTCTAATTCTGATTTATGTTATTCCTTAATGTTTTGTATTATTAAAATCTGTAGCTCATTTTGAACTAGTTTGTCACAGTTTTAGTTTGTTTAGTTCTGTTTAGTGTTTCACTTCTAACATGTTTTCATTGTCTGTAGGGACATTCTGCTTTTTATTCCTTAAGATATATTCGTGTAGCATTTGACCTGAATCTTTTTCTTTTGTTCTTTTCCCTGACCTGCTCTTTTCTCTATCCTGATCGATTCAGATTCCATTCTTTAGCAGTTTCTTCCCAGTGAGGAATACTATCCTAAAAGGGAGCTCTGGCAGGTCAATTTTGAAGAGTTAGAGGTTAAATTGTTTTAAGCCCTTTAAGTCCTTCTACTATGTGCCACATGCACTCATCCAGTATTAGAGAAACCAAATCCCTTCCCAGTTTTGGCTGCTGCTTCCAAATTGTCGGCCCCACTTTCCAGTAACTTCTTATTCACTGGAATTCTCAGGTACATAAGACAACATCCTCAATGCTTCTATGTAAGAAGAGGTCTGCTCCCTCACAGACCCTGATAGCACGCAGGTCTTGTGACTGGTGGTTTGTCCCTACCTGCTTAAATCCTGGGGTTCATGGGGATACCTCGTCACCTAGTTTTTTGTAGGTGTCATGGGTTTTGACTTCACTATTTCCATTTTTATTCTGAGACTCAGAAAAGCTAATGCTGTTGTTGCCACCACCTTCCTAAAAGTCTGCTGATAACTTAAAATTTTATTAACTCACTGAAAATCCACAACCACTTCATAAATTGGTACTATCAGTACCCCCAAGTCACAGATAAAAAGCTTCAACAATTTGTACAAAATTGTACAATAAGTTGTAAAACCACAATTCTAACCCAGATCTTTTAAATTCCAGAGCCTGTATCTTTTATTATGATATTTACAGGACAATTATTCATTACAAAGGAATGTATTTTATAGAATTCCTGAAAAGTTTGCTATAAGGTGAGAAACATCATTATCTTAACTCTTATACGATAAAACTTAACTCAAGGTTTGAGAAACTAGTACAAGTCCCCTAATTCAGCAGGTAGCAAAATGAAAGGTATAAAATCTTACCTGCACGAAATTTGCAATAAACTTGAATCCCTGACTCTCAAATCTCATGGATTTGAGATTATGTTCAATGGCAGAACATAATTTATTAAGTAGGTTAAATAAATTTAATTCTGGAAATTAAAGTAATGGTATCTGATAACCAGAATAGCTGGATGTGCATGTTCATGAATAGGAAAAGAGGCTTCCAAAGTAAGCATCCGCTAATAACCTACCTGGCCTGCCGTGTGTAGGTGGAGATACAAATAGAGGCTGTATAGCATTCTGTGAGGAAACTGAAGTAGTACTAACAGCTTGATTAGCTGCTGCACCATTAGATAAGACTGGAGCTGGAACATTATTGGCACAGGAAGCTGCAACTGCTGCAATATTTCCCATCACCTGTAAATGTGGAAGAAAGTTCAAAACTCTAAGTTTGGTTTCTCAAACAGTAGATTATCTGAACCTAAACTTCAGAAAACAGTAATTAGACAACTAAAACACTGAAAATCAATCTTTATGTAAACCTTATATAGGAAGGTTATTTCTTTCAGAAGATCTTAGGTCACTTGAGAGCTTTGATTTTTTAATTCATTTATTCCTTAAAAGGTAATACACTAATATGATTTGAAAATCAAGTATTAAATCGTATACAACGGAAAGTTTTCCTCCAAGCCCTGTCCTCCGTCTGCCTAGTTGCCTGCTCCCCAGTTAACCTCTGGGCTTCCTGCATATTATTCCAAAGATTTGTAACATATATATATTTTTTGAGACAGTGTCTCACTCCCATCGCCCAGGCTGGAGTGCAGTGGCATGATTTCATTCACTGTAGCCTCAACTTTCCAGGCTCAAGTGATTCTCCCACCTCAGCCTCCCGAGTAGCTTAGGACTACAGTCACGCACCACCACACGCAGCTAATTTTTTATATTTTTAGTAGAGATGGTTTTGTCATGTTGCTAAGGCTGGCGTTTAACCCCTGGGCTCCAACAATCTGCCTGCCTTAGCATCCCAAAGTGCTGGGATTACAGGCATGAGCCACTGCATCTGGCCTACACTTTTTTCTTTTTTAAAGAGAAAAGGTGCCTTGCATTTTTTATAACATTGTAAGACTGTATTTTTTTTTCTGCTTAGGCCACAGCTCCTTAACAGAATAAACTATTTTTCCACAGCACCCAGTACAGGGCTGTGCACAGAAAGATATTCAATAAATGGTAACAGAAGCCTCTTGAACATACTGTCCTCACTGGGAGTCTCCATTTTCTTACCATCCAACCACAGTGTGGCTGCTACCCACACTGGTTCTCTGAAACTGTATTCAAAGTCACTAGTGGTTTCTATGGCAACAGATCTTAATAGACTTTTGTTAAGCCTTATGTTGCTTGACCTCTTGGCAGCAACTGACACCTGGCTGCTCCTTGAAACATTCTCTTCCTAGGGCTTCCATAATATTCCTCTCTCCTGCTTTTCCTCCCTCCTTGGATGTTCCTTCTCTGCCCATTTTCTAAAATTTGATAATTCATGGGCTCTGTTCCAGATACTCTTCTCAACCTCTTCCTTTGCCCAGGATGATCTTGTTTACTCCTATGGTTTCAGCTACCTTTTTATAATGCTGACTCTCGATTCTACAGGAAAGCTTTAAAATTAAGTTTCAGTTAATGAGACAGAATTGACAGGTAATTTAGATTAACTCACTCTTTATATAAAAGAGGTTCACAGTAAACTATGAGTAATCTAAAGCCAGCACATAGAACAGTGTCTGGAACACAGTAGATGCTCAATAATTTGTTGAATTAATTTACTAATCACTGTGTCAGACACCAGAAGGTACAATAATACCTAAAGGAACGAAAGCAGTTGCTTTGAAGTATGAGGAAGGTAAATGAAAAGAGAAAATTCATTTTTCTCTGTTCAGGCCATTGTAACTGCTTAATAACACTATGAAGATTACCTTCTGGGGGTAGTTGTACGAGGTAACTGTGTCCTGAGGAGACATAGAACATGATTTTCTGTCCTGAAGAGACTTTAATGAATACAAAAATATAGTTACATAAAAAAAAACCACATCAATAACTTTGTTTCAACTATTTGAAAGTGTTCAGTACTGAAATAATTCAAATTTGGAAGTGACTCCTAAGACAAAGCTCTAAAAGTTGTCACTCTAAAACGTGATGTAGGTGACTAAATTTGTTACGTATCTACAGAAATCCTCAGCACATCTAACTCAAGTCCTGATGTAGATACTAAAATGTAACTGATGATTGAAATCTAAACACCTTTTCAGTGATCTTTACCTTAAAAGCTTCAAGTACCATAGGACCAACAATAGTTTTGCTTAAAAAAAAAAAAAAAAAAGGCATTCTATCTGAATATGTAGCTTGGTACAAGGGTAAACTGGTTATTCAGCTGCATTTTATCTAAGTGGGATTTAACAGATACTGTAAGATTCAAATATCATTCTCCTCTGGCTTAAGACCCTGTCTTTCTAAAAGTAAAAATGATTTTGAATGGCTTGGACACATGAATGATAGACTGTCATGGCAGCAAGAACTCTAGCAGCAGAGATTGGTTACATTAGTAAGAGCACAGACAGAACAGGGAAAGGAAATCACAGGAAACAATGAGAAGTACCTTACTGTGAAAAGGTGAGCCCCACTTAACACGGACAATTCCAAAGTCTGTGTTCAAGTATAGCCAAAGCCCCTGCCAAAAAGCAAACATTTGCCCTGGCTCAGAAGTTCCCAAGTGAATACCAAATGCTTCTACAGAAACATTTATTTGAGTGTTAGACATGGAAATAAGAAGTATAAATAAATGTTCATGAGTTCTTAGAAGGCTGTGCCTGGAAATCTTTATTCAAAGAGCCCTGCGTTGGACAAAAACAAAGATAAATAGATGGGACTTAATTAAGCAAAAAAGCTTCTGCACAGCAAAAAGAAATAACCAGCAGAGTAAACAGACAGACAACCCACAGAGTGGCAGAAAATCTTCGCAATCTAGCAATCTACACATTCGACAAAGGACTAATATCAAGAATCTACAAGAAACTCAAATCAGCAAGAAAAACACAATCCCATCAAAAAGTGAGCTAAGGACATAAATAGACAATTCTCAAAAGATACATAAATGGTCAACAAACATATGAAAAAGTGTTCAACATCACTAATTATCAGGAAAATGCAAATAAGAACCATTATGTGATACCGCCTCACTCCTGCAAGAATGGCCATAATAAAAAATATCAAAAAATAGATGTTGGCATGGATGTGGTGAAAAGGGAACGTTTTTATACTGTTGGTGGGCATGTAAACTAGCACAACCGTGTACACTATTTTCCACTATGGAAAACAGTGTAGAGATTCCTTAAAGAACTAAAAGCAGAACTAGCATTTGATCCAGCAATCCCACTCCTGGGTATGTACCCAGAGGAAAATAAGTCATTACACAAAAAAGATACTAGTACATATATGTTTATAGCAGCACAATTTGCAATTGCAAGAATATGGAACCAGCCCAAATGTCCATCAACCAACAAGTGAATAACGAAAATGTGGTGTATATATACCACGGAATACTACTCAGCCATACAAAGAAACAAAATAATGGCATTTGAACCAACTAAATGGAATTAAAGACCATTATTCTAAGTGAAGTAACTCAGGAATGGAAAACCAAACACTATATGTTCTCACTCATAAATGGAAGGTAAGCTATGAGGACACAAAGGCATAAGAATGATACAATGGACTTTGGGGACTTGGGGGAAATGGTGGGAAGTGGGTGAGGGATAAAAGACTATACATTGGGTACAGTGGTACACTGCTCAAGTGATGGGTGCGCTGAAATCTCAGAATTCACCACTAAAGAATTTAGTCATTGTAACCAACCACCACCTGTTCTCCAAAAAACCTATTGAAATTAAAAATTAAAAACGAGGTTTTTTTTTAAATGTATGCTGATAATTCTGAAGACATTTATCCTTTATTTTAGCAACAACAGAAATTTGCTATGGATTTGGTGATGGGGGCAGGGGGCTTGGAACATATGAAGAAATTGAAAGCTACTGGAGTTGTTTAAATTCAGAACAAAAAGGAACATGTGACAAGTGAAATTGAAGGAACAGAAAAAAAAGTATTATCATCCCTCATGGTAAGATTCTTACTTGCCTTTTCACTTGGATGGCTACTTCAAAAGGCGATATCAAAAGCACACGATATGAGAATAGTAATGGTGGCAGGAAATGGGGAAAAAAACTTTCTCTGGAAGGAGCAAAGTAAAGGAAGGAGAAAAAACAGAAAGAGAATTACGTATCAGAGTTTTCTTCTCCTTCCTAAGGTATATTGTCTAAACAGTAAAAACAAAAAATTAGTACACGAAGCTGCCACAGTTAAAATTAGTCATAATTAGAGAATTTAAGGTAGTTATTCAAGTTCTTCATAAATATTCCAGTTCTCCTGAATAGACGGTAGGATTGCCCTTCCCAGCTCCATCCAAAGTCAAGAATGACCATGTTACTTGGTCAATAAAATATGAACAGAACCGTTAGGAGTCAGTGTTCAATTTCTGTATCTTTTGCCCTGCTGCGATGATCATGATGGCATGTGCCCATCAGCCTGGGTCCCTGAGTGACTATGAAGAACAGTCACAGTCTGGCAGCCTGCTGCCAACTCGCATTGAACTATATAACATTAGCATGAACAACTTTTCCTGAGTTAAGTCACTGAGACTTTGGGGGTTGTTACTGCAGCATAACCTAGCTTGACTAAAACAGAAATTGGTAACTAGAAGTAGGGTACAGCTATAACAAAATCCTAATTAAGAAGGAGATTATGAACATGCAGCTCTCAGGGTAAGCAATTTAGAAGACTGGATGTTAGTATTGTGCTTTGATTACTGTTGGCATGGTTTAAAGCAAGTTATTTTAAGACAGGTGTGTGTAGGACAGAATTAGTAGTTTGCAGGCAGGAATGAAAGGGAATAGATTCCTTGAATACAGGGACTCACAGGGTTGAAGGAATAACTGTTTCAACCCTAAACTATAAAATGTAGTATTGACGAATGGTTTCAATGACGACAAACAGTGAAAACTTGACCTCACAGCAAGAATCAACTCTTTGGTTAAAACCTGAGTGCATTAAGATGTCTCAAAGTTGAGTTCAACTAAGGATGTAACACCTAGTAAGTCCTTGCACTTCAACAAAATGGCTTGTAGAAAAATGTCCAAAAGGCATGGCTCTTCCATCAATGCCTGATGAACTCAAGCCACTTGCAATCAAATAGACAGAAATAAGGATAAAACCACAAAGAATTATAGCAAATCTTAGTAGTATATCTATAGAAAAAATTGTAGTATGGCTATTGGTACATGAAACCAAAAGAAATCAAACAGAAGCAGAATAAATTAATCTTACAGTCAAAGAAATCACGAGTCAGAACTAAAACCATTCAACTGAGATAAAACCACCCTTGCGCCTCCAATCTTCTATAAGTAGCAAGCTTAGAAAGTTGCTCTGTTGCCAAGGAAAGATTATTCTCCAATGCCTACTCCAAATATTGGCAGGAAGGATGGGCCTTGGGAGTAACCAAGAGCCCCAGAAAATAAACGAGAGATCCTCCAGGGAAGAGTCTCATGAGTACGTTGGGTGCCCTTACAACGTCTGCCCATGAAGTTCTCAGAATTGCTGCAGGCCAGTAACTGTTTTTTTATTCCCCATTTTCTCCCTTTCTGAATAGAAATTTCAGTCCCTGCTTCAGCACTGTAAACTGGGGAGGGAGGGGGGAAAAATAAAAAACCTCCATATTTTTGGTTTTAGGTCTCAAGATCACAAGAAGCTACATCTGGACCCAATATAACAAGTACTACACATAGCTCAGAAACTCTAGGCTTTGAGTTTGATTACACTGAATGGGACCTTTTAGGATGCCTCCTTTGACATAGAAACAAGTATTCTGCCTATGAGAGGGAAGGCAAGTTGAATGATACAGTTCTTAGTGCTGCTAAAATGTTTCTTTTTGCCTTCCAGGCACAAAGAAGTTAGACTCTTCAGTGGGACCTGCTCTGGCCAGCGAAATGGAAAAGAAGGTGACATGTATCACCTCTGGTGGAAGTTGTAAGAGCCAGTGCACCAGTTACCAAATTTTATTTCCTGCCTTGGTAATCGTGGATGAATTTCCATCAGCCTGAGTACCTGAGCAAGCCCTTCTATAGACCTCTACTAGACATGTAGCATAAAGGAGAAGCAAACTTTTGTTATATATGATCCATTATAATAAAAAAACATAAAACCTTCTAAAAGATCATTACTGCCTATGTTAGAATATCTCTAGAATATCTCTAAATATATTAGTTCCAGAAAACGAGTTAATTTCTGTCTCAATTTCTTCATCTTCAAAATGAGAATGATACTAAGCCTCACAGGGTTGTTCTGATTTAAATACATTTATATGTATAGCTCTTAACAGTGCCCCAGTACATAGTAGGCGCTATAACTCTTTGCTATTATTAAATACCTACCAAGTTTGCTGTAGATGCAGTTGTGCTATAAACACCTGAAGTTTCATAGTCTGGCTCTAGAGAATATAGCCAAAGTAAAAAATGAGCATTATTTTATAGCTTGAAATTCTATAAACAATGATGAATGCCAAATCACTTCTAGATCTTACTGACCTGCACGATAAAGATATTCTTCATGATATCCCCCTGGGGAAAAAAGACAAGACAGAAGAAATGTGTTTATATAGGCCTTTTTAGCTCAGCAGAGCCAAATGGCCAGCACTTGCTTTTTCCACCAGTTTTATGGTTATATGTTCAAAACTAAAATGCATACATCCTGGAAAGTGATATGAGCTTTCACACTAGTCAACAGATATTGAAGCCAGAGATTAGCTGTACGCTGTACAAATTTCTCCTCCGAAAATCCACTTAGCTCTTAGAGGTCAGGCAGAGGTGAAAACTCAGTTGTGTCCAATTTTTCCAGTGAGGCTACAGTGTGGTGATTAAGCACATAGGCTCTGAAGTGAGGACTGCCTAGATTTGAATTCTGATTAACTACACTACTTTAGGTAACTTACTTAATCTCTGTGCCTCAATTCTTCACTGTAAAATGGAGTAACAGTACCTAGCTCATAGGCCTTTTGAGGATGGTTAATGGAAGTAAAAGTAACTTAGCATAGTGCTTTACATATACTAAATACTCAATGGTGACTATAAAGTATGAGTATAATCTACTGTTTCCTTAGGTGGACATTAAGGGAATATGTTATGCCTCATCTGTTTTTCAATCTGTTTCATGTAAGTAATACATGTAAAATCAGTGTGTCCTCAAAGGATGGCTCAGTAGACTGAACTACTTTTAAGATTTCTGTACCATCGAAATGCAGAGAAAGTCAATATTCAACCAGATGGTTTTCCACCAAATATAATCTGGCAGTTCTAAACTAAATTTGATTATTAAACACACCACTTATCAAACACACATGCATGAAACTCCTCCAGATTTAAGGTGGGAGCAAAGATTTGGTTATTTCAAATATGCCACACCACCCATAGAGCTAAAAGACAAAAGGGTCATCTAAATAAGAGAGCAGACAGTAAATGTCCTTAAGCACACGCATGCACACATGTACAAAGTTTTCACAGATCATTCTTGTACTAGATTTTTTCACTCATTAAATTCCTAAAAATATCTATTTTTTTTCTATACTAGCAGAAAAAAAAAGTACCACAAGAAAATAAGAAACTTATTCATAAGTTAAGTCATTGGGAATGCCTGACACCTCCTTAAGCCATTCAATGCTCCAAAATTGTTTCAATAGGCATTTACAGTATCTTTTAAAAGGAACAAGGTAAAAACAAACACATTCCATGGTAGGAGTCAATATAAAAACTGTTAAGGGTATGTGTGTATATATGATTCCAATTATATAAAATGTCCAGCAGAGGCAAATCCATAGAGACAGAAAACAGACTGACGGTTGCCAAGAGCTGGGGGTTGGGGCAAATCGGGAATGGCTCCTAATGGGCACAGGATTTCACTACTGTGGTGATAAAAATGTCCTAATATTAATTGTGCTGATGGTATGCAACTCTAAATAAAAAACCCACTGAATTGTATTCTTTAAATAGCTTCATTGTATGATATGTAAATTATATCTCAATAAAACAGTTATAAAAAATTATATCTCTGCCATTTACCAAGGATATGACTGTGGCCATGTCATTTACCCTCTGAATCTCAATTTCCTCATATGTAAAATAGGGACAGCACATTCCTCAGAAGAACACATGAAGGACTATATTATGAATATAATGACTTAGTAGAGTGGATATCACACAGGGTTCAATAAAGAGTAATGTTTATAGATCAAATAGACTTATTTGGGCAAAGAAGTTACTTCATAGCAGTCTTAAAAAATAACAGCCAGTTACACGAAAAGCCTAACATATACAAATGATGAGGACAACTATATAGTTGTGTATTTGTATAGTTGTATATTGTAGTTGTATAGTTGTATATTGTATAGTATAGTAATAGTGCCTTACTAATAACGAACAGATGTTTTCCATACTGGTATCTGACACCAAGTCAAAAACTCACTAAAGACCTATGCAGAGAGCTGAAAACAAGTTATAACAATGTAGCAGCCTACTGAAATAGAAGTCCATTCTTCTGAGAAATACCAGGACATATTCAAAAACCCAGCAAGCATTAAGAACTTATATAAATCTTTCAAAACTAAGCTAGTGGAACAGAGAGAGACCCCAAAACCAAATTGGTCTACTTCACCGTCCTGATGTGCCAATGCCACAAGAATCTTTTAAAAAATATTTAACTGTAATTGACTCACCATTTTCACTCTGGCCATTGCCCTCCTCTAAATTCAAAGTCTGTTTGCCTGAGCTATGTCCCCGCCTTCCAACACAGTATCCTGAAGTAGCAGGAACCATTGTAGAGGGACCTCCATGATTCTGTATCAAAGAGACACATATACTGCAATTCTCACTATATAGTCAGGGAAAAAAAGCTACAGGGACGTTTTAAAAGGCAGTTTAAAAACTAGCCTAACAATGTGAACTTCTGTTGTAAGAGAATTCTGTAATTGTTTTCCATGCAGTTTAGAATACAAAAAATATGAAGTCACAATCAAGAAAACAGAAAATATTAACACATACTCTATAGGCAAGATTAAGTCTACCTCTATTCCCTTTTCTAGGAACAGCTGGGAGAAAATGTCTCTTTTCTCATTTTCAATTTTCAGAAAAGGCTTTGTTTGGTTATTTGTACAAAATCTAAAATGTATCCACATTGCCTTTACTTCAAAAAAATAAATGAAAAAAGTAAACAGCTTTTTGAGTAAAGCACTGATCCACTCACAGGTAAAGCTGGATAAGCAGTCTCATCCCCTTCTTCAACTTCATAAAAAGTAATAGTTTCTTCTAAGCCCCTGGGCATCTGTCCATTCCCTGGGGCAAATCCATACTGGGACTCCTTGTTCATACAACTCATCTGGCGGTGACTACGTCTAAATGAACTTAAGTGGTTCAAAGAATAAAAAAGTAAAAATGATGAAATATAACTTGTTCCTAACTTCTAAATAACAGTTCAAATATCTCAAAGTTGACACTTTTTAAAACACTAATGTTCAGCAATGAACTCAGACTTACCCATTTTCTCTGACTTTCAACACAATACTCACCGAGATCTGTAAGAGAAGTTATCATAGCTCTGGCAGCACCTTTTACCTGGGCCTGGGTAAAAATCAACTTTAGGGCCCGGCATGTTGTGCCTGTTTATAAACCGAGATGAATTCCTAAGAATAAAGAGAAAGAAAAATAAAACTCTCTATTCACCAATATCTAAGTAGTCAGTCTCTGTAGTTAAATAGAACTAATCTGTCTTTCTAAAAACATTCAACTAGAAAGAGCTCTGCTCTCTGCAATATTGGCATTAGGCCTATCTATTATTAATGAAATACAGTCTGTATGTCACACAGACCCTCATCTTGATGGCATTCTATCTTCTTGGATCTCTTCAACTGCTTCATATTTCCCTAGACCATGAAAATACAAATCTGTCAATGTCTTACCTGGGCATCCCATATCCCCGACCTTGTCTCGGAGATGGATGTTGAGGATGAAAATGTTCATTAGACATAACATTGCCAGCTGTCTGTGAGTAGTGCATTGGAGGATCATGCCCATAATGCATACTGTGTTGTAGCCTGGGTGGGAGGAGGGGTTCTCCCTTGCCATAAGCCATAGTCATGTAAACTTCTTTTCCTCGAATTTTCTTGAACATCTTCTTCTGTTGCTTTATGTCCATCTCTGATATAACTTTCAGGCAAACAAAGAAGTAGCAAATAAGCTCATAATCAAAGCAAAAGGCCCAGTGTACTGTCACCACCACACTGCCTTAAACTTTCCAATGCTTCCCCTAGGAACAAACCAAATAAACATAGGGAGGGAATTTTTGTGTTTTTGAAGGATATACTAAATCTTTTATTTGGAAGGACAAAACCAGCAGGTAATTTCTGTATCAACAGGTATATCTCGGCACTATCCCTAGTATGGGCAGGTTAGTATAGGTCATCAAAACACTGAGTCATCCATGGCCAGGCACGGTGGCTCACGCCTGTAATCCCAGCACTTTGGAAAGCTGAGGTGGGTGGATCACCTGAGGTCAGGAGTTCAAGGACAGCCTAGTCAACATGGTGAAACCCCGTCTCTACTGAAAATGCAAAAATTAGCCAGGCGTGGTAGTGTGTGCCTGTAATCGCAGCTACTCAGAAGTCTGAGGCAGGAGAATTGCTTGAGCCCGGAAGGTGGAGATTGCAATGAGCCAAGATTGCGCAACTGCACTCCAGCCTGGGCGACAGAGTGAGATTGTCTCAAGAAAAACAAAACAAACAAACAAAAAGCCCCCAAAACACTGAGTCATCCAATCACATACATTACCATTCTCTAATAAATTATGCCTGTTAATATCCCCGGCTGCTTCTATGAGGTGTTTTCCTAGTTCTCTAAGAAATATTTTTCCCCCTCAGGTTAAGATCCATGTCAGCTTAAGTTTTTAAAATTAATTTTTATAGGTGTAGAACAGTATGTATTTATGGGGTACATGCAGTATTTTGATACAAGCATACAATGTATAATGATTAAATCAAGGTAACTGGAATATCTATCACCTCAAACATTTACCATTTCTTTATGTTGGGAACATTCCAAATCCAGTCCTCTAGTTGTTTTGAAATATGCAATTTGTTAACTATAGTCACCCTATAATGCTACCAAATACTACATCTTGATCCTACTACCTAGTTTTGTACCCATTAACTAATCCCTCTTTATCCCCCACCCCCACTACCCTTCTGAGCCTCTGGTAACCATCATTCTACTCCTCATCTCCACAATATCATTTTTTTCTTTTTAGCCCTCAAATATGAGTGCTCAAGTTTATACAAAGTCCCTTAAGAACCATGGTTCTCAACCAGGGACAATTTTGCCTCTCCCTCCTCTAGGAAATATTTGGCAATGTCTGAAAACATTTTTGTTTCTAGTGGATAGAAGCCAGGGATGCTATGAAGCACCCTACAATGCACAGGACAGCCTCCCGACAATGAAGTAGTATCCATTCCATTATCAGTAGTGCTAAAGTTGAGAAACCCTACCCTACAACAAGACATATGACATATCTTTAAAAAATAGTACAATGTAGGTAAGTAAAAGCAGGTACATGAAGGGGAAAATAAAATAACAACCTTTAGCATACAAACCTATTTCTGGGACATATCCCCCAGGCATTTTCTGATAACCTCTTCCTTTCCGACTGGGCATAGCATTCCAGGCAGGAACAGGCATCACTTGGGTAACTGGTTTTAAGTTAGCCAGTGGAACAACATGCCTTAACAGTTAAAGGTATCACCATGAAGATACTGCAACACAGACTTAACTCTCATTCAATACACGTAGCCCACCCCTTATATTTCAAGTGTATTCTATTAAAACCTGGTTGACACCAGTTTCCTTGTTTGTTATTAATTTAGAAAACCTAAGAGTAGTTTGTGCAATTTCACTGCTGTTTCTAGTACCGATCACATTTCAGAAGAAAGACTGGTAGACCATATTAATTCACAAATATTTGCTGCACCTCCTTGGAGGATTAAATCTCCCCACCCCATTAACATGAGGCTTGGGAATGTAAACCACTCTGCTTAATAAAGTATGAGACATTTTAAGATTCAGACAAGTGGTTTGTTCTCATTTTATTCCCCATAATCATGGATGCACGTGTTAAAACAGGATCTCTGTTGAACCAGATCCCATTTGCTGACTCACTACGGACATGCTAAATGAAGGAGAAAGGACCTTACTGTTTTAAGCTGCTGAAATGTTTTGGTTGTCAGGGCAGCATGGCCTCATTTAATGGTTCTCAAAGTGGACCAGCAGCATTACCATCACCTGGAAACTTGTTCAAAATTAAAATTCTTGGGCCCCACCTCAGACTTACTGAATCAGAAACTTTAATGACTGGGCTCACTAATCTTGTGTTTTCACAAGCCCTCCAGGTAATTCTGGTGCATGGTAAAGTTTGAGAAAGACTAGATTAGTTTATCTTCATACTGGCAGAGGCTCAGTAATCCAACTTTGCAATTACTGTGAACAGTTTTGTATTAGAATTCCGTTGTACTTAATATTTCTAATAACTAGGTTAGTGTCTAAGATTTGAAAACTTTTATACATATCTAATACCTATATTGAGATTTCATACTTCAGCACATGCTTTTATAATTCAAGGTAAGTCATCCTAGGCCAACACTAGATACAATTCTGGTTCTCTTACTAGCATCCTGGTAATTCTCAATTTAATATTACAAAATGGAACCAAGAACCAAAGATTTCAGTAATTCAACAAATTATCATATTCCTACTTTTCTGCCAATTCTTCAATGAAGACTGTTACTGAATTGTTCTCATTTCCAACTTCCTGGATATGAGCATTATAATATCTTCCATCTGATTCCAAGCAAACCTGAAAAGAGAATACATCTAGTCTCAAAACTAGTGACAGACACGGCTACCGCCAAACAAAATACCACTTTTCCCCAAATGGAGTTCAGTGTCTACTTTTTAAAGTAATTCACATCAACACTGCGAGTCTGGATCAAAGGAGGCAGCACATACTGAAAGAACCTTACATCTAATCACTAAATTTGTAATTAAAATTTAACACAGACATTAAATAAACTTTTTTTTTTTTTGGCTGGGTGTGGTGGCTCATGCCTGTAATCCCAACATTGAGAGGCCAAGGTGGGAGGATTGCTTGAGGCCAGGAATGAGACCAGCCTGGGCAACACAGTAAGACCCTCTTTCTATAAAAGAAAATAAAAATAGGCCAGGTACGGTGGCTCATGCCTGTAATCCCAGCCCTTTGGGAGGCCAAGATGGGTGGATCACGAGGTCAGGAGAACAAGACCATCCTGGCTAACATGGTGGAACCCCATCTCTACTAAAAATACAAAAAATTTGTCAGGCATGATGGCAGGCGCCTGTAGTCCCAGCTACTTGGGAGGCTGAGGCGTGAATCCGGGAGGCGGAGCTTGCAGTGAGCCAAGATCATGCCACTGCATTCCAGAGCCTGGGAGACAGAGCAAGACTCCGTCTCAAAAAAAAAAAAAAAAAAAAAAAGAAAAGAAAAATTAAAAAACTTACCCAGGCATGGTGGTATGTGCCTGTAGTCCCAGCCACTAGAGAGGCTGAGAAAGGAGGATCACTTGAGCCCAGGAGTTCGAGGCTGCAGTGAGCCATGATCATACCATTACACTCCAGCCTAGGCAACAGAGCTAGACCCGATCTCTTTAAAAATAAAAATAAAAAAAGTTTCTAGTACTTTGTAAATAAGTCTTGCTCAACTCATATTATGACTACAAGCACATTCTTAAACAAACTACTGATTCTTGAAGAAGGAACTAACCTGACACTTGTCTCCCAAATAGTACTGTCTCCCAGCATACTCCATGTAATCAGATTTTTGAAGTTCTATTAAAAGAAAATGAAGATTCAAGCTCAACTAAACTGGTTCCTTTCCTATATCATTTAATTTCCTCATTTACTTTTACCATGTTACTGTAGTGCCGTTGACAATGCTACCACTATAAGTGAAAATAGGGGTAAAGTGCCAAAGGGCCATCCTATCATTCTGGATGACTTATTTCTGCAGTTAATTTAAAGAGATCTGCCAGAATAATTTTGTGCTTTAAAAAACAAATACGTGGAAATTGGGAGTTTCTAATCAGAGATAGTCAAACACTAATGAGGTACAATTTGAAAGCAACACTATTCAGCTTCTTCAAATCAACCTATATATTTTTTAACAACTTACTGTGTTTCCCAAGGTCTTAACCTCATTCTAGATTGTTAACTACAGCTAAGTTTACCAGGGTTCAAGCAGTTGAATGTGAAATACTAAAGGCTTATCTTGAAGGCAAAACTTTAAGGCCTAGGTTGATCACTTTAGTTATAAGGAGAGAAACAATGACCTGTTTTCAAAGGTTGGTAAACTTTTTCTGTAAAGAGCCAGATAATAAGTATTTTCAGTTTCTTGGGCCATACATTCTGAGAGTCTTGAGTAGACTCTCAGAACTACTCAAACTCTGCTGTAAAATGTTATGAATGCTGAAATTTGAATTATATAATTTTCATGTGTCACAACATATTATTCTTTTAACTTTTTCTGCCAGTTAAGAATGAAAGACCATTCTTAGCTCATAGACCACATAAAAACTGCTGGTGTGTCAGATTTGACCCACAGGCCTAACCTACTCATTTATCAAGGAAGGTGGTCTTAACACCTGGAATTTAAGATGAGCTTGTTTTCCGTCACTAAGTTTCTTAAAGCTATCTAAAAATTATCTCCACACAGTCTTTGCAAAGTTGAAGTCCCAGGCAAACATCAGACTCTAAAAAATCCCTCCCACATCTGAAGCTATGTTCCCTCCTGTGGATTTAAATCATATATAAAGATAAAAAGCATCAGGCTGTTTTTTATAACAGTATTTCTGATAAGAGGTGTTCACCATAATTTGCAAAATTATACTCCTGAAGTTGTCAGGATTCAAAAGTATTCTGTTGATATTTCATTACCTTTTCTGCTGTCCAACCAAACATCAAACTCTACATTACGATAGATTTCCGGATCCAGGGCTTTGAGCACCTTATAGGGGAAGGGCATCTTTGATGGATTTTCTGGAGACTAAAACAAAAATAATCATGCTAGAAACTCACAATCCTTAGTCTTCCTTCTATGAAGAAGGAAAAATTAAGTTGCTTCCTTCTTAAAAAAAGTTGTTCTTTATTAAAACAAGAAATAAATCGCACAATAAACTTTGCCATATATTTTAAAAATCAGGAGACTAAAGTAGCAAAATGCAAGTAATCTAAAAGGTTTTAGATGGCAGAAGGGAAATAATGTCTAAATGAGGCAATGACTCAGGACACATCCCATATAAACCAATGCAACACAAACAAGGATTAAAAATTCAGAGCTATTCAGGAAGTGTTATGATATAGACATGGAGGTGCAAGTATTTCTGTACTCTACAATACCTGGAAATATCTGAAGCTTACTTCATTTTGGTCAAATCCTGTTAAAATTTCCAAAGGAACTACCATTTTTCTTCTGCTTTCCTAGAATTTCACTATATTCAATACTATTCCAAAATTACAAGCACCTCAGGTACACACAGAGATTGCTATAATAGTATTTGACTTATTTAGCTAGCCTCAACTGAAGGCCTATTTGATTTTAGTCCTATATGGATGGTGAAATGTCTCCTGTTTCTCTAACTTTAAACCATGATTATCACCTAGTTTGAAGAAAATAAAGATAGGCATTGTATTCCTTAATGGAAAAAACCTTAGTGTCACAAGACTGATTACAAACTAAATATTGGGTTTGTAATATTTAACTTAAAAGCATATTGCTCCGGGAATTTCTGAAGTGTTGTTTGTTCTGAAAAATCTAAAATTCTGTAAAAATAAGAATTCAAAGAACATTAAGCATGCATTTTAAGTTTAAAGATAGGTAAGACTTTCACAAAGGAAAATGACCAACTCCTCCCTCAACCCATATAACTAGAATATACTATCTGACTTTAACTAGTTTGTCATGAGTATGAAAATTCTTTGCCTTAGAAAATATCAAACCTTTGTTTCTTCTGTTCCTTTATTGTAGCTCTCTGGTATATTTTCAGCATTGTAGCAGGCACCCCACTCTTCCATCCTATTTCAAAATATTTAGAGCAAAGAGCTTTTTATAAATGCAGAATTTACTTATCTTAAGCCTAACGACTACACCACCACCTAGTGGTAAATTAGCTCAGTTCTAAAACTAAGGCAAATGCTTTTTCATTCCAACATTTGCATTTACGCTTCCTTTTTATAAGTATGTGCTACAATATACTTAGCAGATTACCTCCTGTATTTTACAACTCCTGTGAGAACACACTCTTAGGGTGATCCCTATGATCCCTGCCTCATTCATTTTACTGGTCTCTCTCTCTCTCCTCTGCCGCCTATAAGGAAGCAAGCAGCCATGTTCACCACCACAATGTAGCAGAGGTGAGGTAATTACTTCCGGCCAACTGACAGCAAAAACTTGAAGCTCTCAGTCCTATAGTTCAAAGGAACTGAATGCTGCCAAGAACCATGAGTGGGGAAGTGGATCTTTCTCCAGTCAAAGCTCCAGCTAAGAACTCAGTCCTGACCAACAACCTCATTATAGTCTTATGAGACACTCAGCAGAAGATCCAGCTAAGCCATGCCCAGATTCCTAATCCACATAAATTGTGAGAAAAGTATGCTGTTTTAAGCTGCCAACTTTATAGTAACAGTGTTACACAGCAAAACATAACTAATACACCTTGCCTTCCGACTACTGTAGTTTCCGTAAGCCTAAAGTCCTTAAGACAAGTGATCAGTGACGAATGAAGCAACCTTTACCCTAATACATGGTTGCCACTCCTGGCAGTCCCAAATGAGCTTGGTGCTACTTTAGAATAAGTATTTTCTCAAAGTATGATCCACAGCCTACCTACATCAGAATGCTTAGGCACACTTGTTTAAAAAACAGATTCGTGGTCCCATCCTGACCTCAAATTTTGTGACAGTAGGCGCAGGAACCTACCTTTCTAACAAGCACTGTAATTCTTATACAACTAAAGTTTGAGAACCATGTAATTAGATAGTTCTGAACTTTCTTCTAGCAATACAAAACGAACCTGAACAAAACCCCCAAAGTCTGGGCATCTCACAATACATCTCTTTGGTAAAACTCTCCCCCCATTAAAAATATATATCCTAACATATGTGTATGTGTGAATATGTAACCTAACTCATAAGCTTGCCAGGCCCCTTCCACTTTCAAATGACTATGCACATAAGTATGAAACATAATTATTATAATATCCCCTTTCCCTTTATTACCTATTCTGATTTGAACTCTTGTAATCAGTATGGGCATCCTCGCTTCCAGTCACAGCATTATTTCTGTTCTTCTTAGAACCACTTCGAAACAATTTAATCGCAGTTTTCAACTCTTCTTCATCCACAACAAACACATCTTTATAGAGAATTTCATACAATACAGCTGAAGAAAAAATGGCCGAAATTCCAATTGTCAAAATAAGATTTATATTAACTACGTGAAAATAGTCATAAACCTGCGTGTGAATAGGTACCAACAAGGTTTTAAAGGCGCTATTCATGGTAGGTCCCTGAGTGAAAACAAGTCATCTGAAATCACACCCAAAATTTATAAAGCCTTCACATACCCTGACAAACAGCTGCACTTGACTGAAATTGTTTTGAGTACACAGAATCGTAGTGACCACTATTTGAATAGCAGAGTAGAATCTAAAGAAAAACACACAGAACAATTAAGTGAATGTTACACATCTTAAAACCATGAAATTAAGATGATAATTAACTTGAAATTGAGTCAGTAGTCAGTAACTGATAACTATTTGAATTTCTTTTTTTTAAAAGTGATTTTTAAAATCTAAATATAAGGAAACGCAACCTGTACCTCATAAAGATTTTCTTGGCAGTGACTTTTAAATGCCAAGATTAAAATTACTACTAAGGTTACACTGTGAGCCTTAATCACATTAATATGCCAAACAAGTCCTGATTTACAAATTTGCTTTAAAAAAAAAAAAAAAAAAGGAACATTTAGAAATTGAGTTATTGAACATAACAGAAAGCCTAACAGATGCCAAAAGACCCAGCTAACTTCTAAGAATGACTGGAAAAATTAGGTCAAATACCCAAATACTCCAAACTCAGACTAAGGGAGGAAAGGGATTTTATTCAATTATTTAAAAAGTTATCAATTTTGAAAATCTTGTTGATTCTGGGGAGCCGAGCGCATGGCACGAGCGTCACGCCAAACAGCCCGCTCGCCTTCTCCTCGGTGTCGGCCGCCGCCACCTCCCAGAACCTCCTCGTGCCCTCGTGTGCCAGGCCCACGGTGGCCGAGATCCACAGTTCACAGCATGTCCGCCTTGGCCCCTGCTGCGGAGGGAGAGGGAACCCCCACCCAGCCCGCATCCGAGAAAGAACTCGAAATGCCCGGTCCCAGAGAGGAGAGCGAGGAGGAAGAGGACGAGGACAACCAGGAGGAGGAGGAAAAAGAAAAGAGTCTCATCGTGGAAGGCAAGAGGGAAAGAAGAAAGTAGAGAGGTTGACAATGCAAGTCTCTTCCTTACAGAGAGAGCCATTTACAATTGCACAAGGAAAGGGGCAGAAACTTTGTGAAATTGAGAGGATACATTTTTTTCTATGTAAGAAGAAAACCGATGAAGTTAGAAATCTACACAAACTGCTTTACAACAGGCCAGGCACTGTGTCCTCATTAAAGAAGAATGTGGGTCAGTTCAGTGGCTTTCCGTTTGAAAAAGGAAGTGTCCAATATAAAAACAAGGAAGAAATGTTGAAAAAATTTAGAAATGCCATGCTAAAGAACATCTGTGAGGTTCTTGATTTGGAGAGATCAGGTGTAAATAGTGAACTAGTGAAGAGGATCTTGAATTTCTTAATGCATCCAAAGCGTTCTGGCAAACCATAGCCAAAATCTAAAAAAAACTTCTAGCAAAGGCAGTAAAAAGGAACGGAACAGTTCTGGAATGGCAAGGAAGGCTAAGCGAACCAAATGTCCTGAAATTCTGTCAGATGAATCTAATAGTGATGAAGATGAAAAGAAAAACAAGGAAGAGTCTTCAGATGATGAAGATAAAGAAAGTGAAGAGGAGCCACCAAAAAAGATAGCCAAGAGAAAAACCTAAACAGAAAGCTACTTCTAAAAGTAAAAAATCTGTGAAAAGTGCCAATGTTAAGAAAGCAGATAGCAGCACCACCAAGAAGAATCAAAACAGTTCCAAAAAAGAAAGCGAGTCTGAGGATAGTTCAGATGATGAACCTTTAATTAAAAAGTTGAAGAAACCCCCTACAGATGAAGAATTAAAGGAAACAATAAAGAAATTACCGGCCAGTGCTAACTTGGAAGAAGTCACAATGAAACAGATTTGCAAAAAGGTCTATGAAAATTATCCTATTTATGATTTAACTGAAAGAAAATATTTCATAAAAACAACTGTAAAAGAGCTAATTTCTTGAGATAGAGGACAGAGAAGATGACTCGTTCCCATAGATTTGAAGATCTGACTTATACCATTATACCAGCAAAGAGAATGTATTTCCTTTTCTAAATCCTTGTTAAGCAACGTTAGAACTTACTGCTGACCTTTTTATCTTGAGTGTTATGTGAATTTGAGTTTGCTATTTTAAATTGCATTTCTATGCCATTTTTAGTTTAAAATCTTACATGGCATTAACTGTTCCTTGCTTTTATAGTTGTATTTTATACATTTTGGGTTTCTTTATATAAGGTCATAGATTCTTGAACTGTTCTGGTTTTTAGTGCACTTAATAGTAGCTTGCTTAGGGCACACTTTTAATGAAGTAGAACAAAAACTATTATGACTGGGATTTATACACACAGAGATTGCAGTATTTAGTATATGAAATATTTTGAATACACATCTCTGTCAGTGTGAAAATTCAGTGGCAGTGTGTCCATCATATTAAAAATATACAAGCTACAGTTGTCCAGATGACTGAATTGGAACTTTTCTCCTGCATGTGTATATATGTCAGATTGTCAGCATGACAAAAGTGACAGATGTTATTTTTGTATTTTTAAAAAACAATTTGTTGTATACAAAGTTTTTAAATTTCTTTTGTGCAGACCACTTTTTAAACTCACATAGGTAGGTATCTTTACAGGTGTAGACTATGGAATGTCAGTGTTCAGCCAGACAGTATGATGGAGCAGTGAAAGTCAATTCAGTGATGGAACATGAAGGAACAGACAGTTATCCTGCTTTGTCTCGAAAGTGTCATCAATTTGTAATTTTAGTATTAACTCTGTAAAAGTGTCTGTAAGTACGTTTTATATTAAGGACAGACCAAAAATCAACATATCAAAGCTTCAAAAACTCTGGGAAAGGGTGGGATTAAGTACAAGCACATTTGGCTTATAGTAAATGAACCGATTTTTATTAACTGCTTTTGTCCATATAAAATGCTGATATTTACCGGAAACCTAGCCACCTTCATGATTACGATTAAAGTACCAGATTATAATGCCAGAATATAATGTGCAAGCAATCGTGGATATCTCTGACAAAGTGTATCTCAAAAATAATATACTTTTACATTAAAGAAATTTGATGTTTCTCTGGAGTTGGGGCTCTGGCTTTTAAAGTTCGGCTAATCAGTGTTGATTCTAGATGATCAACATAATGGACCACTCCTGAATGAGACTAATTTTGTCTTTCAAATTTACTGTCTTAAATCAGTTTATTAAATCTGAATTTTAAAACATGCTGCTTATGACAGAATGACACATTTGATGTACCAATTAAGGGTTGAAAAATATCTTTGCATCATGGAACAGAAATATATATGTTGAATGTTAACAGGTATTTTCACAGGTTTGACTTGTTTGATAGTTACTCAGACACTAGGGAAAGGTAAATAGAAGTGAACAAAATAAACAACTAAATAAGACCTAATAATTCGTCTTCGATTTTAAATATTTAATTCATTCTTATAAACCTTGTCAATAAAATTAATCTAAATTTTAAAAAAAGTTATCCATTTAACTGAATAGCAATATATCAATACACTATATAGCACCAATACTGCTAGAGAGACTTCCTCAATGAATTAAGGCACATCTCAGGCGACAAAAATGACAGTTTAACGTCTGAGCTGATTCCTTGAATCCCTAGAGGTTTTTTTTTTCCCCAAAACAATTCAAAGGCCATGCTTGTTAAGCAAAATTTTGTCAGTCAAAATGTTGCATGTGATGAAATTTGTTTACATAACTGTTCCAAAACATTTCTGAATTTTTGTTAAAAAAATCTGTCTTTGCCAGGTGGGGTGGTGTGTGCCTCTAGTCTCAGCTACTACGGCAGGAGGTCACTTGAGCCCAGGGGTTTGAAGCTGTAGTGTGCTATGATCTCACCTGTGAATAGCCACTGCACTCCAGCCTAGGCAACATAGTGAGATCCCCATCTCTTAAAAAAAAATCTGTCTTATATAAGGGATATAATCCCTAGTGATTAAGGTTCTTCCATTTTGAAGGTATCAGCAACCTGAGTTACTCAAAATGATTCTGCAATCTATAGAAAGATGTTGCCACCAAGCCTCCTTGGCAGAAAAAAAAATTATCCTAAGCATTCTTTTTTTCTATCTTCCTACTCTTCCCTGGGCTAACTTCTCCCAATAATCCAGTTATTTGATCCCAGGTCTATTATTCTTCACTCATCTTTTTGGAAATCACAATTCTATTTCAGTAATAATCCATTTCAAAGTACTGAAGTCAAATGTCAAGCTAAAGTAACTCACAGTAAAGTTTAAGTTATAAGTTTCTCCTACCACAAGGGGTATCTGCATTTAAGAGTTTATTAACCCATAAGAACAGTGAGCAGATTGTGAGCAGAGAAACCCTTTGTACTTTGGGCTACAAGAACTGGGAACTCTAAAAAGTATTAATAACTAGAGGTAGCTGTTAAGGAATAAAGGAATTCAGTTAACCAGACTGATGAACAAGCAGTTCTTATAGAAAGAAGACAGACAACTATATAATTTCTCTATTAAAGTAGCAAGAATTTCCATTTTGACTGGAAGAGGCAAAACAAGGCATGATGGCTTTTATGTTTCTCATGGTATCCCAACATGAAATAATAATTCATACATACTTGTGGGTGATTTGTTTGGGAGTGGGCAGATGGGATGTAATTAATGGCAGTAAACTAGTGAAAAAATGGGGTAGACCTATATTACTAAGAAGGATATTTAAAAAGAACAAGTAACAATGTTAAATATGAGCCCATTTACATTTAAAAGACAAATACAAAGAAAATGATACAGAAAGATACTCACCAATACTTAATAGTTTGTTACTTTGAAGTACATGAGAACCAATACTTGTTACTTCGAAGTGCGTAAGATTGAAGAGGATGAGTGGGGACTTTCTTACTCTACGTTTCCAGACTTAATTTTATTTTGTTTTTAATATAAGTACGTACTTCTATTTAGATAGAGCAAATGAGCTGAGTGAAGATGGCTCGATTTCAGCTGAATACACTTAAGAAACTGAAGATAACTGTGTAGAATGCAGAATTAAGTCAACACAGAAGGTGAAAGATACCGAAGTGAATATTAGACATTTCTATGAAAGTTTGTTCTAAAATATTTTTAGAAGGTTCGTTAATAATGGTCACGCCTATAATAAAGTCATTTTTATTTATTTATTTTTGAGATGGAGTCTTGCTCTGTCGCCCAGGCTGGAGTGCAGTGGTGAAATCTCGGCTCACACAACCTCCGCCTCCTGGGCTCAAGCGATTCTTCTACCTTAGCCTCCCGAGTAGCTGGAATTACAGGCATGCACCACCACACCCAGCTAATTTGGGTATTTTTAGTAGATACGGGGTTTCACCATATTGGCCGGGCTGGTCTCAAACTCCTGACCTCAAGTGATCCACCTGCCTCGACCTCCCAAAGTGCTGGGATTACAGGCATGAGCCACCACACCCGGCCTCATTTTTAAAAACTCGGTCCTGATGCCAATCTTAGGAGGGTGAACTGAGATAAAGCAACAAAGTTTTAGGGAAAGTAAAGCATCACAGAATAAAAGCACCTGGCTTTTCAATATAAACACACACCCCCACTCTATAAATTCCCAAATCAGACATATATATGCACTATCCTGTACATGCAAATACCCAAGTGCTGGTAAGCATTAGCTCTGTATACATGTATGGATATTTGTAGGTTGTACACACTCAAAAGGTCTGACATTTTTGTATTCTCATGGTTCCCAATGGGTAATGTTCCCCCTAAATTAGCTAAATAATCTCTCTGTAAGATACACAAGACATTTAAAATGGAACTGTACAACTGCAGGAACTAAGTGGTGGGTACATGAATGTTTACTACATGAGTCTTCAAACTTCTCTCTGTATGAAAAATTTCAGAATACAATGTTGGGGAAAAACTGAACTGGAAGTTTAAAGATCCCTGGTAAAGATCCAAATTTCATCTCAAGCAATGCTATGTACAACTGCTTAGATACAAAAGCTAACACTCCTCTTCCTCAAACAATTCAGATTATGTCACACCTTTGCCTAAAAACTTTCCATTAGTGTTTCGGGTCAGGTGTGCTGGTGTCTGAAATTTACTTTAAAATACATCAAAAAAGAAAGATGGACAGATGAATGGATCGAGGAATAGATATGTTATAAGAATACTAAGATGTTAACAGCAGATTCTAGGTGGTGGGTAAGTATATGGATGCTCACTGTAAAATTCTGTTAACTTTTCTGTATGTTTGAACATCATAATAAAAAGTTGGGGAAAAGTTTCAAATGACTATTCTGTACAATGAAAAGACAAATTATTTGGCATGGCTTGCTCTACCTCTTACTATGTAACTATAGCCTATCTTTCCAGCATCACCCTCCTCACATCCAACTACTTAAGTGCCAAAGGGTCTCTTGCTTCTATGCCTCTGTATATAGTGTTTCCTCTGAATACACTGCTCTTCATATTTGACGGACTCTTTTATATTCCACTTAAATGTCACTACCACCATGAAGCTTTCTAAACTCCCTCAAGCAGAAAGAAGGGGTTTTTCCTTTGTGCTTTTAGCACAGTTTTTATTATTATAAAACTTACCACTTTGCTGTAATTAACCCTTTGCAGTTCTGTCTTCATTGCCCCTTAAGCTCTTGGAGGGCAAGGATTTCACTGTATTCATTTTGGTGTCCCCAAAGCTCAGAAAAGAGATAATTAATGTACCTCATTCGTACTTATCTTCTAAGTTATCTCCTACTCAGTCTTCTCTATTCCTAATGCTACTTCTCCTTAGTTGAGATATTCCCCCTCAATTACCATAACAGCATCCTAACAGTTCTCCTGGTCTCTAGTCTTGTCTTGCCATCATTAAAATTTTGTCTAAATTGTGTTCCATGTTGTGAAATAAGACATATAAAACTCAAACACTATGTAGTCTATATTTCACTAATAAAATAATCAGGATAAAGGTTTTTCTTTTATAAACTTTTTGGAGGAGAAACTGTATGCTGAAAAACAATTTATCTGCTGAGTATTCTCAACTAACAATCAAGTACTTTACCAGGCAGTAGTAGACACTATCACTTCCCTCAAGAAACTTTCAGATAATGAAAGAAATACATATGAAGACAAACACAATATAATAAATACTACAATTACTTGGGAGCTGCTAGGGGAGAACAAAGTGAGAAAATGACTCCAGGGGCATTGGGAAAGTTTCAAACACAAAGACACAAAGTATGAAAGGCAGAATACCTGGAAGCATGGCATAATAAGGATGGAAGAAAATAAAGCTGCTTTGGGACCTTTCAGGATGCTGAATGCCTAGCTTCAAAGTTTGAACCTTATCCTTTTTAGTCACTGAGAAGCCATTTAGTGTTTGGGGTGGCTTTTTTCCTATCACAGAGAAATGACAATCAGATCTGTTTAGAGGGCTAACAACACTGAGATTAACTGACTAGAGAGGAAAATGCTAGTAACAGAGAAACCCGTCATTCAGACTATGCTTTTCGTTAATTAGGTTAAAAAAATGATTTAATATCCAGGCAAGCCAGAAGCATCATTCAACTTCTTTTATATAAGTCAACATTCACTCATCTTCTTACCTTGTCTTCATAGCCATTATCTGTGACATAAGTTGGAGGTTTTCCAGGAAAGCGATAAAGAATGAAATCCCGACTACATGGGGAAAACAAAGGTTAAGTGGGAAGACATAATTTGGCATATGTAAGAGATGGTTATAGGAACAACTATTTCTGCTTTTAAATTGCCTACCTTATTCATATAAAGCAATATAAATATCCGGTTTAATGTTTGGCTTTAAAATAATCCAAAAGGGCTAAATGACGTTAATTCAAAGTAGATGGCTAATTGCCCCTAAAGTCCTATGGATTTTTTTTTTTTAATGTATCTTAATTTGGGAGGAGAAGGGGTAAAGACAATGAATTTTTAATTGTATGTATGGCTGTGAGTTGGGGGGTGGTGCTCTCCTTTATTTTTTGGCAAAAGGCTAGAAAATAGGCATTTCAGCTTTTGCAGACTATATGGTTTATTCAACTTTGCTTTGGTAGCATGAAAGCAGCACAGACAATGCATAAGTGAATGAGCATGACTGTGTTCCAACAAAGCTTTATAGACACTGAAATCTGAATTTTATATAATTTTTCCATCCCATGAAACATTCTTCTTTTGACTTTTCAACCATTTAAAATATTTTAACACTCTCTCTTAGCTTTCTTCATTCTAGATATCAACACATCAAATCTCAAATTTCCCCAATCCCGAAGAGACCGTTAATTGAGATCTTATACACACATGCATGCAAACACCCACTCTCAAAGAAAAGAGGATATAACTTACTTATAAATTAGAGAAAGAGCTCTTATTTCCAGCTGGCCAGCACTTTCCTAAACATAAATAGTGTATAGAGTTTTAAAAAAACATTCTGTAGCTAGGAGGTAGTTTTTTCAAGTTCAACAAATTTTTAGCTGCTTAGCACTATTTTAGATGAAGAATTTGTAGAACACACTATAACCTGTTTTAAGGCTTGGAATACTGTGATAGCTACTTATTAATATAAACTTATCCTGAAAAAAGGATCTAAAGCCCTACCTTAGCCATTAAGTAATAAGGACAGTTAATAAGAGAGATTTTAAAAACACAATAAAGATGGAACTAGTATAACAAAAAGGCAGTAGGGATTTAGTAAATGTGTTTTTTAAGTCCAGAACCATGGAATTAACTTTATCATATAAAAATTATTTCTAAATAAAGTATGAATTTATGAATTTTACTCCCACATAAAAGGAAGAAAACTACAAATCAGGGGAATTGTTTAATAACAAAATAATGACCTCTTGGTAAAATTCATTACCACCCTCCTCCTCCATTAAAGTGAAAAGGCTTAAGCTTCTCCTGTTTCCAAGTAGTATATACTCTTTTGCTAGTCTATGGTTGATGGGATTCTTAACACACAATTATCAATATTCGACACAAACCAATAGGTCAATTTTCAGCCTCTAAACTTATGCACGAACTATTGGATTCAACACAGTTGACTACTAAATAAAATAGTTGGGGTCTGGCTAAAATAATACAGCTGAATGAATAAATTTACATTACTATTCCAAATAACTCTGAAAAGATTAAACCCCCATATTTGATCTTACCTTGGGATCTCCCAACCGTTCCAGGTATTTCTCAAAAGATCCCTCCACATACTTCAAAAATAAAACAAACTCGACTTAACCAAATACACAGCATTACTGAAATCTGATTATATTCTACAATATTATCCTGCAATGGGTTTTTTGCTCAGCTCAACAATTATGGTAGTAAGTTTCTACTTTGCACAGCACCTCAAGAAGATTTGCACATACACAAAAGTCATGAGTGGAGAAAAACTGGAGTATAAAAATATCTTAGGAATTGGTCCTGGCATATCCACATACCAGTGCATTTCATCAAATGGTATGCTTTTGAGTTTCATTTGAAACGCCGATTTAAGTAATGACAATTTTCATAAATCAAGCAAGACCAGTATTTCTAAGGATTTCAAATTTCACAAGACATGCATTTACAAAATTAAACTGAGGAACTTTAAAGAGAATTTCATTCGTTTCTAAAAAGACCATGGGACAAGGGAACTTTTTAGGGGTGATGGAAACATTCTATATCTTGACTGTAGTGGCAGTTCCATGATTGCATATTATCGCCAAAACTAAAAATGGTAAACTTAAAATGATGAGTTTTATTGTATGTAAAATATGCCTCAATAAAAATGAAATTAAACTCAGGACTGTAATAGATTTATTTCTAGTTCCATGGATACATATCATTAGACTTTTAAAAAATCATTTAAATTTTCCTTTTAAAAAGTTTTGAGATATAAATGACACACAGGCCGGGTACGGTGGCTCACGCCCGTAATTCCAGCACTTTGGTAGGCCAAAGTGGGCAGATCATGAGGTCAGGAGATCAAGACCATCCTGGCTAATACGGTGAAACCCCATCTCTACTAAAAACACAAAAAAAATTAGCCGGGCATGGTGGCGGGCACCTGTAGTCCCAGCTACTTGGGAGGCTGAGGCAGGAGAATGGCATGAACCCAGGAGGCAGAGCTTACAGTGAGCCAAAATCATGCCACTGCACTCCAGCCTGGGTGACAGAGCAAGACTCCGTCTCAAATAAATAAGTAAATAAATAAATAAATGACATACAATAAACTGCCCAACTTAAATAGTACAAATTTTGACTTATGTATACACCCATGAAATCATCATCACAATTGAGATAGTGAATATATCACTTCCATAAGTATCCTTGTGCCCCTCTATAACTCATATATAACCACTGATCTGCTTTCTGTCACTATAGATTGGCTTGTATTTTTTCTAGAGTTTTATATAAGGGAAATCAAACAGTATAAACTTTGCAGGGGATTTGGTTTCTATCACTCAGTATTGAATTGAAATTCATTTATGTAGTTTTAAAATTTTACACACATCTTTGTTATTCAAAATGTTGTCCACAAACCAATAGCAAACATTACTTCAGAGTTTGTTAAAAATGCAGAAATCTCCACTGAGCGCAGTGGCTCACACCTGTAGTCTCAGCACTTTGGGAGGCCAAGACGGGCAGATCACTTGAGCCCAGGAGTCTGAGACCAGTCTGGGCAACATGGCAAAAACCCCATCGCTACTAAAAACACAAAAAACTTAGCCCAGGGAGGTGGTGTGTGCCTGTAGTCCCAAGTTACTTTGGAGGCTGAGGTGGGAGGATTGCTTCAGCCTGGTAGAGGACGCAGCAAGCCGTGATCCTGCCACTGCACTCCAGCCTGGGCAACAGAGTAAGACCCTGTCTCAAGGTAAGAAAAAAAAGAAATCTCGGGCCACAACTCAGACCTACTGAATCAAAACCTGTATTTTAACAAGATCTCCAGGTGATTTGTATGCACAGAAACACTTGAGATGCACTGCTTTACACTGTGGTCTTGCATTTGAAGTAATGTCACGAATAATCCTTTCTCCAGGTGTAGAGAAGACTACAATCAACTTCAAGGTAACAAGCTTTTAAGTCAAGAAGTCTTCACATAGTTTTAAAATTCACTGAAACCAGTTGAGAAAATTAAGAGTAAAACTCGAACAGCAGGCAAATACCCACAATAAATAGAAGAAACAAATAGCACTGGAAGGGCCAGAAGTGTTTTAAAACACACACACACACACACACACACACACACACACACAAGGAAGCCTCCAATTTCATTAACAAGAATTCAAATACATGAAGGTGTACAAATGTCTTCTGTAAGTTGTTTTACCTAAAGTTAATCATTAGTGGCAGAGCTCTAATTACACAATTTGTCACATGGAAAGACTAGATACTTAAGACTCATTTGTTCCCCTACAACTAAGTTTTACAAGATTCCTCAAATTGACTGGCTGAAGATTACTGTCCACAGGATTAAGCAAGAAAATAGAGGGGGTTCCCATTTGTACATATTTTAAAATATGCACTGCAAAACATTAACAGAGCCAAACCTTTCATGATTATTAATTGTTCAATAAAACTGTATGGATAATATAAAACAGCAATCAAAATGTAACTTTTTAGGGTCTGGAGTTCTTGGTGTAGGACGAGGTAAGTAGTGGGAAAATTTAGATTATTCTTGATTTTTAATTAACCTTGATTTTTAAACAACCTAATTCTAGCAGAGGGTCCAGAAGCACGTTAGCTACTGGGAAGGGAACCAGTTGGGAATTAAATATTTGCTATTGAGGAGACTGCATGATATAGTTTAATTTTGGTAGGTGTTCACAATTACTTTCCCACCTGCTACATAGTCTACCAGCACTCCCCTGGGTATGTATTCTACTTACAGACTCAAAAGTTTGTTGATTTTCCCTCATATATGAGACACAAGCCTTCCTGATTTCCAAATGATGGACCTGGCTGCAAAACAACTAAAAAGAAGAGAAAGACCAGCCCACTGTCAGTAGTCATTTAAAACAGGCACTTCTAAATCAAGACTATGAACTGGACACTTAAGCCTTCCTTATTCAGAACATATGTAGAAAATTCGGAAATTAAATCATCTTACTCTAAGTTTTTCTTAATATCATCTTCAACGAAATTGGGGAAGGATGACTGTCATGCCCCATCCCCTTTTCTACTCCTTATGTGCACAGCCTATAATTTTTTTCTTAGGTATTAGAGGAAGCAGGGGATGCTTACAAAGGATCAAGATATATTTCAAAGTTGTCTTTAGCCTCATCTTACCCCTCCTACATTAAAAACTAGCATTTAAAAAACAGAAAAGATAGCAAAGGTACAGCAATATAGACTATTCAGCAAAGGCATGCGCCAAGCTAATAAGAGCAAGCAGCTTCTCTCTAGGACCTGATAGGCCTGATGTTTTCACTAGAAAGCAGGGGAATTTTTTTGTTTCTTTTGGCAAACTACAGGACCATCCCATGTCTCAAACTCTGAAAACTCAGTACAGGGAAGATATGTTTTCCTTTTACCTGCTCCGAAATAGCCCGAAAGAGGCAAGAGGCATCCTTGGCAGTCAGCTTTCGAAACAGCCCTAAGCTGCCTAAATATTCATCCATTGATGCCTCATTCAAAGACTTCTGGCTGCAGTAGTTTTTCCATCCTTTATGCATTTTGTACAGGGTCGGGGTGAGAGGGAGAGGAAAAAAAGTGTGGCAAGAGGGAAAAAGCAGGGTGCAGGTAGGATGGGTAGCAGTAACAAGGGCTTGCTTATGCAGGTATCCGGAAAGCAGCCCAAAGTCTAGGCCTGAGAAGGCAGTTGAAGTCAGCGCTGCAGAATCTTGGCACTTCCCAGGAGCAGAAGCAATGGACTTGGCTTGCCCAGGACAAGTCAGGACCCTGTGAAAAGAAGAGGAAGAGCCAATCCTCCTAGGAATAGGGAACTCAGACTGAGGAGGAGACGTGGGAGGGAGGGAGAAAGTGCTTAGAGTTACCTCCTTGGGAAAGAGTGGGATTAACCCAATCAGACCAAGGTTGAGAAAAGTATGCATAAGCAGCTGAGCTTTGGGACTAGAAGGAAACTGACTTTGCAGCTTAACTCAGGGCAACTGCTGCACGAGGCTGAAAAGGGACTACAATAAGGCTCAGGTGTGTAGGTTGCAGCCTGGTCAACATTACATTGCTTTAAGATCTCTAGGTGAATATTCAACTAGTCTCTCCCCCAAATTCCCTGCTCCTTTCATAGTTTCAGGGAAACATGGAGGGAGGGAATCTTGATGAACCTAGTTAACCTGTGAGTATTTGCATTAGTATCTTTTTAATACACACAAAAAAGGAGAAGGAACTTCCCTTAATCTATAGTGGCAGAGGGCACAGTTCAAGCTAAGTACCAAAGCTATTACCTGGATATTCCAGATATAGGGTTGAAGTAATCTTCTAATTCTAGATAATAATCTCTGCCAGGATCACAGAAACTAAATCTTATTGGCCATGCTAGGGAAACCTTATACAATTCTTGACTAAGGCCTCCAAAGTATTATATGGCACCAATAAAAAAGAAAAATGCAAAAAAAAAAAAAAAGTGTGTTTCTTTAAAAATGGAAATAAAAATTTAAATGGAAGCAGCATGAAAATATCCATAAACTTTCTAATAGACTACATTTGAAATGGTATGGTACAGTATGAGATGAGGTAGACAATGAGAGATGTGTTTCAATGTTTTACTAGCATACTTTTCCAGAAACATAACTCTGGATTCTGAGAAAAAACACAGAAAATAGTAAGTGCCAAAGGCAGGCCCAATTGCTTGTATTATTTGTTCCTATTATCTATCCTATCTAGCGTCTTTTATTTTTATTTAAACGCAAAAATCCAATTCCTTTCTTACATTTTTTAAGTATTAAAAAAATAAATAGGTCAAAAGTTGGCTTTAGAGAAGGCACAACATTAAGCTGCTTTCAAAATTGTTTTTTCTTTTTTTTCTTTTTCTTTTTTTTTGTATCTGTGGATCCAGTAGTAATCATGACTGCTCCCTCTAGGAAAAGGAGCAATATTTTATAATTTAGGAATGAAATAATATTTGACATGGTAAAAAAGTATAAATCTTGACTTCCTTAGCATGCCAATTTGAAATTACCTTAATTTCTTTTTTTTTTTTTTTTTAATGGTCTCACTCTGTCACTCAGGCTGAAGTGCAAATGCAGTGGTGTGAATACAGCTGACTGCAGCCTCAACCTCCTGGGCTCAAACAATCCTCCTACCTCAGCCTCCCAAGTAGCTAAGACCACAGGTGCATACCACCACAACCAGCTAATTTTTGTATTTTCTGTAGAGTTGGGGTCTTGCCACATTGCCCAGCTGGTCTCAAACTCCTGGGTTAAAGCTATCCTCCCACCTCAGCTTCACAATGTGCTGGAATTACAGCCATTGAGCCACCATGTCCAGCCACTAATTTCTTTTGTAAAGAAACTGTCACACTGGAGAAGTGATGCCTTTTGCAAAAGTTCTGAAACACACTGATTGGGAAGACAGATTGCCATCTTTCGACAAGGTCACTAATTCACTGAGAAAAATTAATTAAGGGTTATAATTTGGCCAGGTGTGATGGCTCACACCTGTGATCCCAGCCCTTTGGGAGGGCGAGGAGGGCAGATCATGAGGTCAGGAGATTCGAGACTATCCTGGCTAACATGGTGAAACCCCATCTCTACTAAAAATACAAAAAATTAGTTGGGTGTGGTGGGCACCTATAGTCCCAGCTACTCCGGAGGCTGAGGCAGGAGAATGGTGTGAGCCGAGATCGCGCCACTGCACTCCAGCCTGGGCAACAGAGAGAGACTCCATCTCAAAAAAAAGGATAATTTAAAAGTTAATTTGTTTCCAGCATATTGTACTTGTAGAGAAAAACACAAATGCTTCACACATCTGCTTTTTAAACTAAAAATAAGTATGATATATAAAACAATGCAATCTAAATGCTTCATTTTGAGGAAGGGAATGGGAGAAGGGAAAATGGGAGAGGGAGGGAATCAGAAAATAGAAAACTGAAAAAAAGAAAAACATAAGTAGGGACAGGAAGACAAAAGGAGACAGAGCAAAAGAAAAAACACACAGGGAAGCACACAGAAGTAGATCCACACAAATATGGTCCATCGATTTTTGATAAAGGTGCAAAATCAGTTCAATAGCAAAAAGATAGCATTTTCATCAAGTGGTGCCAGAACAATTGACCATCCACATGCAAAAAAAGGATCCTCAACCTATATCTCACATCTTGTACTATAAGTAACTCAAAGTGGCATAAATGTAAAATAAAACTTCAAAATTTTGAAAAATAAAATATAGGAGAAAATCTTTAAGATCCTGAATTAGGTAGTGAGTTCTCAGATACATAACAGGGAAAAAAAAATTAACTCGATTTTATCAAAATTTAAAACTTTTGCTCTGCAAATGACATTGTTAGAATGAAAACACAAGCCAAAACGGGGAGAAAATATTTTTACATCACATATCTAACCAGAAAAACTTTGTACTAAAATATGTAAAGAACTCTGAAAAGTCAACAATAAAAAAAATCCAATTTCTTAAATAGACAAAAGATTTGAATACACATTTCACCAAAGATACAAGAATGGCTAATGAGCACATAAAAAGATATTTGAAATCATCGATCGTTAGGAAAACGGAAATTAGAATCACAGTAAGACATCATTACATACCCACCAGGATAGCTATAATAAATAATACAAACAATAGCATTAACAAGGATTGGAGAAACTGGTCCTAAGAAGATGGAAGCAAAAACTGTATGATTCCAAAAGGAATATGATTCCATTTATAAGAAATATGCCAAAAGGGTAAATCTAGAGACAGAAAGCAGATGAAGTAGTTGCCCGGGGATGGAGTGAAAATAGGCACTGACTACAAATAAGCACAAATAATCTTTCTGGAATAACAAAAATCTACTAAAACTATTTTGTGGTGATATGTGTACAATTCTGTATATTCACTAAAAATTAAATTGTACTCTTAAAACTGGTAAATTTAACGGCTTTCAGGTATGTCACATACCATATAATTCACTCACCTAAAGCATACAATTCGATGGTTTGTTGTATAGAGTTGTGCATCCATCACCATAATCAACTTTAGAGCATTGTCTTTATCCCAAAATGAAACTCTGCATCCTGTAGCTGTCAACCTCTAATCCCTCTATCCCCACCAACCCCAGACAACCACTAATCTACTTCCTGAATCTATAGATTTCCCTATTCTGAACATTTCAAATAAATGGGATCATAAAATATGTGGTCTTATGTGACTCGCTTCTTTTACTTAGCATAAGGTTTTCAAAGTCCACCCATGTTGTAGCATGGTGCATCACTACATAGTTCAATCCACTGTATAAAACAAAATTTGTTCATCCATTCATTAGCTGATAGAAATTTGGGTTGTTTCCACTTTTGGGCTATTATGAATAGTATTTCCATAAATATTCACATGCAAGTTTTTGTTTTGACTTATGTTTTCAATTATTTTAGGTATAATACCTATGAGTGGAGTTACTGGATCATATGGTAACTCTATTTAACCTAATGTTAGGAACTGTCAAACTTTTTCAGAGCAACTGCACCATTTTACATTCTTACCAATAGTGTATGAGGGTTCAATTTTTCTCTAGATCCTTATCAACACTTGTTATTTTCCATCTTTTGATTATAGTCAACCTGGTGGGTGTGAAGTAGTATCTCACTGTGGTTTTGATTTGCATTTCCCCAGTGGCTAATGATATTGAGCATCTTTTCATCTGCTTATTGACCATTTGTATATCTTTAATGAGATACCACTACATACATCTTAGAATAACTAAAATAATTTTTTTAACTGACAATACCAAGTGTTGAAAAGGATATAGAACAACTGGAACTCTCTCATATGTTGCTAGTGGGAATGTAAAATAGTACAACCACTGTGGAAAACAGTTTAGCAGTTTCTTATAAAATTGAACAGAGTTACCATATGATCAAGCAATCCCACTTCTAGGTATCTACATAAGAGAAATGGTAACACAAAAACCTCTATGTGAATGTTCATAGTAGCTTTATCCATAATCATGAACTCTCAAAACTGGAAACAATCTAAACATTTCTCAGCTGGTGAATGGACAAAAACTGTGGTACATTCAAACAAAAGAATACTTCCTAGGAATAGAAAATAATGAAATGATGATACATAAAAGAACATGTATCTCAAATGTAACATGTGAACCGAAAAAAGACAAGATTCAAAAGGCTACACACTGTATGCCTGCATTTATATGACATATTGAAAAAGGCCAAAGGATAGGAAGGGAAAACAGATTAGTTTTTGTCAGTAGTTGGGGTTGAAGAGCTGATTACAAAGAGAAAGGATAAATGGGGGCACTGGAATTGTTCTGCATCTCGACTGTGGCAGTGGTTACATGATTATGCCTTTGTCAAAATTATAGAACTATATAACAGGCTAATTTTACTGTATTTAAATTTAACAGTTAAGTAAAACAAAAAAGCAGAAGAAATAGAGTTGAGGAGCTCACAGAATAGTCAACAATATTGGAAAGAAAAAAACAAGAAAATTAGATTATCAATCTAGGAAAGCCAACATCTAACCAACAGGAAGCCCAAAATGAGATGAAGCAGAGGGAAAGAAATGATAATGATGATGATGATAATATAAAAAAATTCTAGCACTGTAGAACATGAGTATCCATATTGAAATTGAAAGGGCTCATGAAGTAGTCACAACAATGAAAGCAAAAAAGATCATCATCCCTGGACATAATAATAAAGTTTCTGAAGTCAGGGGAAAAAGAGAAGATCCTAAAGCTTTCAGAGAAGAAAAACAGTTTATACACAAAAGAA